CAGATTAATTGTAAGCTGAGAGATAACCTATGGTCTTGCAATACCTGTGTAGAATATCATCTGAGCTGAATGGAGAATTGTTGCGATTCCTTGTAATACAAAATATAAAGATCTGTACACAAACATGTTTTCATATACTGTGCGCACGCGCGCACACACACACAAACACAAACACACACACATACACGCACAAAAATAATAATACTAATAATAATAATAAGGTGACTTTCATCTGCGCTGTGTACCACAGTTCTGGCAGTACATGATATACTAGACTCTGGACACAGATTTAACAATGAGAAGTGTGGCAGGGATCTTTGTTGTCATCATATCTTTTCACATTATAAAAATTCTTCTTGTACTCATATTGCAGAAATGTCTGAATTAAACATTAAGGAATAATAAAAACTTAGAGTGAAACAGAGTGATAACATTGTTTAAAGCATGGAATGAGCATATATTACTGAACCTTATGAAATGAAAATTTGAAAAACTAAAACCGTAGTTAGAGAGACTAACAATATCAAAACCAACAGTTAGAAAAGGAATAAGTCTGTTTAATCAATAGTAGACAAGGTCATAAATATATTTAATGACCTGGCGAAAAAGATAATTACATCTAGTGCAATTTACAAAAAAAATTATTTAAAAAGAAAATTATCCATATATATATATATATATATATATATATATATATCTATATATATATATATATATATATATATATATATATCTATATATATATATATATGTGTGTGTGTGTGTGTGTGTGTATGTGTGTGTGTGTATATCTATATATATGGCGCTTAAAGTACTTTCAGTTTCTTGTACAGGCATATACATGTGTGGCACTGGAAGCTTGCTGTTTCAAACATGCCAGCCCAAGAATGCTAAGAAATGGGTCATAAACCTTGTAGAAATTCCCTCCAAAATACTTTTGAAAAACTCTTATACGCATGCGTCATTACAATAACTGTTATGTATCTTTTTAAAAAAAACTTATGATTAAAAAAGTGATATATGCACTGGCATCTTTTTCAGCATGAGCATCTATCACAGTACATTGTTTGCTTGAATACATCTGACTTAACCCTTTCACCCAGCAATTGCTAAAATTATAGGAATTCTCTGAGAAAAAAATCATTAACAAAAATATTTGAAAGAAGTAATCAGTAAAAATGAACAGAGTTAAGCATTAAATGGAATACATTCCTAGGACCTAAAACACAATATGTATCAGGTGACTAATGCTCTGACCCCTATCACCTCTATAACAGAGGCTTACCTAAAAATTTGACATCAACTTGACTTTTTAAAAAAACAATGGGGTTATAAGGAAACCTGCCTAAATATTGTTTTTAGTTACTACATTTTTATCTTGGCCTATAAAACACTGCACAGGCACACAGAACCAAAGGTTTTCAATGTGTTTTGAGAACAGGTCACTGCAGACAGGCCAGTATATCTGCATTTGCGGTAATGTCACAACCGGAACTGACTAGACCAGTCTTCTAAGGGCACTTGCCATGTGCCCCTACTATGCTAAACCTGCAGTACTGAAAATGTTTATTTTTATTTTAACAATATCACTTGCAACAATCTAGACTTATTAATTTTTTTTATTCCTGTGCTATATTTATTTAGAATTTTTTTTTTTTTAACAGGCAAAAAAGGAATGGAGAGTGGTAACGGAATTTCTGCTCAAATCTCTTAACACAGAAGTGACATCTGAGAACATTGACAGTTTAGTGGAAATTGATACTGGTAAATGTGATGTGAATTATGGTTGGTTGGTTTCAGGCTGCCTGCATAATGGGCACTGACTCCAGTCTGTGTCCTTCGTCTCCCTCTCCCCCACTCTTTCTTTTCTCCATCACAGTCTGCTTATTTGTCTGTCTTACACACAAATACAAACAAGAAGATGACCATAAATAGGAATCTGGGATTACCTCATCAATGTGTGGATAAATACATACTGGCATGCATATGTATACACACATTAGAACCTCATTTACCCAGCAATTCACATCTCTGACACATCTATTATTGAACATATTTTTCTAATCAACAAACAAAAACATGTCAGTTTCCTAATTGTGTGGCCCGTATCAGCTGCATTTACTGCTATGGTGAGATCCAAGAAGGTAGACGATGTCATGATGGCCAGAAAAAAAAAACGCTTAAAGGATGCGCTGAAAGTATCACTTAAAGCCTTTAATATAAAACCTGACCCTTGGGAGGATGCTGCATAAGACCGGAATACATGGTGAACGTCTATCCGGAGAGGCGCAGTGATCTGCTAATCAGTCACCTCTAGACTCACAGACAGTCAGCTATAGTTCCATCATGGATGAAAGAAAGAGTGGTCCTCATCACTTGTGATGGACGAACAAGAATAACAACAACTCCCTCCATATACCCTGGTACCCATTTTAGGCTGGATCGATGTGGGAGACCAGAACTATGACAGAAATGCCTGCCTCATATGGAAGCATGATTACTTGGCTGGCAGACAAGTGGGCAAGTCACAGCAGTACCACAGCACTATATAGTCAACATGTTTGGAAGTCAGACACAGTTCATTTTGTGCTATGTTTGATTCAGTTTTTTTTTTTACTATGTCAGTGTTGCTCAATTCCTTGAGCCAGTTCATTGTTCGTATGTGCATATCTCTTGCACGACCCTTCACATCGTTTCCTTAATTCATTATATCTGTTTTGTTTTATATCATCAGATGTTCTTGCTCAGTCCAGAACTCGGCCGTTGCATTTTGACCCCACTCAGCATAAAATCCTGAATTCAGAATTGAAACATCTGTACACTGCAATAACTCGAGCTCGTGTCAATGTGTGGATATTTGATGAAGACAGTGAAAGACGAGCACCAATGTTTGAATATTTCAAGGCTCGAGGGCTTGTGAAATGTATGGGAACAGAAGAGTGTGAAAATGTAAATGAAGGTAAAATATTAAATCACAATAATTATTTTAATACCATTATAAGAACTGTACGAGGGGAAGTCAATAAGTAAATCACAAATGGTAATGGGATGACAGGAAAAGTGTGGTTTCTAAAGCTGTCATTAGGTTATAGCAACATTGAACTTTATGTCTCCATTCGTTAGGTGGCGCTAGGTGTGGCATGTGCATTTGCAACACAGAAACAAAATGGCGACTGTACTTACGGAGTGTACCCTCAAAGAACAATGTGCTATTGTGCAGTTTTTCTTTTTTTTTTTTTTTTTTTTTTTTTTTTTTTTTTTTTTTTTTTTTTTTTTTTTTTTGTTGTTGTTGTTGCAGAAAGGCTGCCTGCAAAGGACATTTATAAGGAAATTCTTCCTGTTGACACCGCCTGCAATGGATACAATGTATAGTCTTGGGCAGTAAAGGCGGCTGGTGTGCGACTGACCACATCACCGCACAAATGCCATTTGGTTTATTATATATATGTCTATCCCTATATGCCCAGTACAACTGACAGCGGGACAAAGAGTCCTTCCCTTTTACTCAACTTTTATACTTCATAACATAATCAACATATGCAATGTTTGGTATATACAATTGATGATACTGCATGGCACAGGATGATGGTTTATGGTGTAAGATCATTAAACCAGGATACTAAATGAGAATCCTCAGAAAAGATGACAGTAAAGAGGGTTCGCTAATCAATAGTCCTAACCTTGAAAGTAACATAAGAAATCTCCCATTGTGTAAAAAATAGCAAGTAGTTGAGATTTTCTAACGGACAAGAATCAAGGTTGAGAAAGTCACAGAATTTTCATCTAGACAATCAAAGAATGGTGGGATCCCGATAAGATATTTTAGGATATGGCCCGAGTTTACAGGGGATCTCTACACTACTCCTTACTTTTATAACTCTCACCTTAATTCGCAATATTTTGATTAGTTTTAAACTAAGCCGATGTAAAAGCTAGGACAAACATTTGTAGCAGAGAATGACTGGATTTAGGGTTTTGTATCCTAGTAACACTAAGGAAAACATCAAAACTTATGTGCTTGTAAGCGCTGACGTATATTTATTGCTATTCCCGCATATATATATATATTTTTTTTTAAAGTTTGCATTTGTTCTAGCATGAAATATGCAATTAACTCTTGCAGGACTTAAAAATTATGTTGGTTTGTCACAGAAATTATGTTGAAAAAAAGGGGGATAGTCTATATCTAAAAATAAATGGTTTTCAAGTTGTTATCGTTTTTTTTCAACAGTCATGTGTGGCTTACTTGTTGACTTCCACTCGTATATAGCATTATTTTCTTTGCAATATATTGTTACTATTTGAGCGTGCAATCTTTGAATGAAAATGTGTCAGCTTAAATGTTTACTTTCTGCCTTCCAGCAATCATGTTTGCCGACAAGTCCACCGCAAAGGAATGGAAACTTGCAGGGGATAAATACATGCATCAGAAGCTTTATACTGTGGCTGCAAAATGTTATAGGTGAGACTTTTGAATTTACACACAGATTGGTTTTTGTTTGAGTGTCATTTTTGTTTATTCTTTTTGTTCTTCTTTTGTTTGTTTGAAATAGATTATCTAAATCTGCAACGTCGTCTCTAGTATGAACTTCACTGTCTTTTGTAATGCACTCAACTTAGTTGATAATCTTTACGCTGACCTGGGTATTTAGCAGTCCTTACTTCAGAAATATTATTGTTTTGTTAAATAAATAATATATTGTTTGAAAATAATTTACATTTGCTTTTGTGACATTACCTTTATCAGTGTCTGCTTTGTACCGTTAGACATCACACAGTTGCAGTGCCCTCAGTTGCCTTGCATGCTGTGATGTGAAGTTTGAAGTTGTCAGTGATCACATTAATCCATCTCTTGGCCTTTCTCTGGGTTTTTTTTTTTTTTCTGTCTTCAGATTGTACGCTCTTGCTGCTGGTATCATTATGTTCATTCTTGTTAGGTGGCAGATCCATTTGTCTTTGTCTCTCAGTGAATTTAATGATGGGTATTATTCCAAATAAGCCTTCTTATCTTATAAAAAGCTTTCTGGTTTTTTTGTTTTGTTTTTGTTTTTTGTTTGTTTGTTGATGCGAGGACATTATGATGGGTTTAAAGAATTGTCATAGAATGCTCATGGTATGTGAATTGTATTTACTGTATCATTATGTCATCATCGAATATGTTTGAGCCCATCATTTTTTGCTGTCGTAATAATTCACACAGAACAGAAGATATGAATGTGTATATATTGTAGTATGTTACATGTATGAAGCCCTTAATGCATTAGAAATATGGTCCAGCATGTTGTTATAAAAAAATTTATGAATCACTTGTGACATAAACTGTCTTTACTGTAATAAACTACTAATCATTTAATTAAACTGTTTAATAGTCACTAATCTTAGGCTAGATAACATGTGAGTATAAATTATGGTATTATGTTTAATTAGCATATCACCTGGAAATACAACAAAGCAAGACATTTTATTACAACTAAACTTTAATTATCCTTTGGGAAAAAAATGCACAAATGTAAAGATGCATCTTCTAAAAGTAAATATGGTAGAACAAAATCTGTTTTAGAATATGGAAGAAACCAGCAACATTAGAGAGCTTTTTTCTTTAGCATGCACAACAGATTCTGCCTCAGAGGTATGAAATGTCAGGCCTTTGTGTATATTCTAGGTCATGACATAATATGTTATGGTAATCATTTACATTCTCATTGTCCTTTCCTTCCCAGCAGTTCCCAGAAATATCTTTTATTGTGCTACCCCTAGAGAATTTTACATACAGGTAAAAATGTGAGAACAAGAGAAGAATACTATAATCCAACCACCATTACTAACAATAAGAGAGGCAGTCCTCTATTTAATTGACATCAAACACTAGCTAGATGGACAGAATATTTTAAAGAGCTACTGAATCCTAAAAGTGAGATAGATAACATCAGTTTTGTGCCTAAAAGCAGTGACCAACATGAACCAAACTTTTTAACATCAGAAGTGAAAGATGTTATACAGAAGAGCCCTAAAAACAAAGCACCTGGTTTAGATGGAATAACTACAGAAACTATTAAAGCATGTGGTGAAACTGGCATCAAATGGCCAGCAAGAATTATCAATACAGTTTGGTAAGAAAGGAAAGTTCAGGCATTGATAATACCAGTTTGCAGAAAGAAAGGTAATACAAGAGACTGTGCAAAATTATTAGAATAGAAAGTGAGATTTATAGCGGAGCAGCACCTAAATACATCATAATTTATTTTCATGAAAAGAAAAGGTTGCACAGATGCATTATTTACACTAAAACAGAAAACCATTGACTGTGAACTGAATATTGTGTTTGTAGATCAAGAAAAAGAATAGATAGAAACAAACTGTGGACTATTTGTGAGGATTATAGGATTCAAGGAAAGTTGCTAGATAACGTCTTATATGTTTACAGTCGATACAGGAGTGAGGCACGGATATGTGCTTTCTCCTCTCTTATTTACTATATACATAGACAGAATATCAAAAAAAGCCAGTTTTAAAGCAGTCAACCCAGAATATCCAGAAAATGAGGAACTTCCAGATGGAAGAATTAAATTGACACACAATAAATGAGCTACTATATGTAGACGATCAGTGCCTGTTGTACAATAAGGGGAGTAGACTGCAAGACCATTTAAACAGGCTAAGTTCAACATGCAGAAGATTTAACATGAAAATAAATAAAACTGAGTATTGCAGCTCAGCAGAATTCCTAGTCTGCTACATATCAGGTTGAATGGTACTTGCAAGAGAAAAACCAAGATATAATGAATAAACTCTTCACTCCCCAAGAACCTGAATGTGCATTAAGAAACCTTAAGAAAAGGAAGCCACTTAAACCTAACTGAATAACAAATGAAATGATAGTACACTTGGGACCAGCTGGTAGGCAACAACTCTTAGACCTTATCAGTTATTCCCAGACCCAGGGACTACTTCCAAAGGAATGGAAGGAGGCAGAATTAGTCCACAAAGCCAAGAAAGGAAAGCCCAAGGAAAACAAATTCAGCTACCACCCCATAAGCCTCCTAAGCTGCCTTGGAAAGACCATGGAAAGAGTTGTGAACAACAGGTTAACTTATTTCCTGGGGAAAAAAACACAAGATATTGGATGACAGCCAATCTGGCTTCTGGAAATACAGAAGCACTAATGACCAAACCTATTATTTTGCACAGGAGATTGAAGATGCTTTCCAGAAACAAATACAGATTGTTAGCTACTTTCTTTGTCCTGGCTTAAGCCTTTGAAAAGCTCTGGAAGAAAAGACTCTTGCTAAAACTAGCACACAGTGGAGTAAAAGGGCATATATTTGTCTGGATTAGAAACTTTCTTTACAGATGCTCCGCAAGACCCTATCAGCTGACTCAGTATAGAAAGCAGCATACAACAGGTTACCGTCAACAGACAGGAAACTGCAGGTTAAACTACCACATGCGTAAAATAAGACTGTACAGTCCCCACAGTGTGCCTGTCAGACAGGACCACAAACACTGGAGCACATTCTTCAAAAAGAAACCTGACCTCAAGAGCAAAGTGTGCAGAGAAAGCTATAGGGAACCATGAAGGACCTGCTGCTGACATGCGAGTTCTTAGAGGCAACCCACCTAATGGTCTGATATGAGCATATGAAACCGAACATGAAGAAGCAAGATGAAGAATTTAAATATCTAGTGTAATGAATGTACTTGTGTCTCCTCCACACTTGATCTCTCTAGTACAGATTCAACACTGACTCTGTTGTCTAGAGGTTAGGACACAGCTCACTCTAACCAGACGGCATTTCTCTCCACGGTCACACGACTTCAAACGACGGTTGACACCAGCTGACACATTTCACGAGTTTATTATCACTGTAGCACAAGACACAAATCAACAGTAGAATCAACTTACACCATTCGGGCAATCTCGCCTTTCTCACGCATTGATGCTCCAGACATGCTTCAGACGATGGACACTGGCATATTCACGGCTGGCTCAACAATCAAACAGTGTAACACAACGGCTGGCCTTCACGATCATTCATTCGACTCTGATTCAGATCCACGTGCTCTCTTCATTCTGGATTCATCTTCACAGATTCAGTTGCACATCCTTCCAGTCTGGGGCCCAGTCACCGAATGACCACCTCACTCTCAATCCCCCAGATCTCGCATTCACACGTGACTCACTCTCTCTTGTCGTTGTACCATATCTCCGTGAAACCCATGCTCTCAGGGACTTACCCAATTATGCCAGTCATCCCCTGACGTTAGCCCTATTTATAGCATCATTACACTAGAAAGTGTATTCTCAGAGGACGGAAGAGTAGATCGGGAAATTTAAACAAGATGATAGAAAGAGATTATAAATAGCATTATCATACCAACACTGTACTATCAGTGCCAGTCTTGGACAATATCAAAGGCTAACCTATGTAAAATTTACACCTCTGAAAAGAGATGACAGAGAAATGCCGACAACTTAACCATCAGAGATAGTTAGAAATGATATTATCAGACAGACTGAAATAACAAAACCATGCAGCAAATTTATTGAGAGGCAGAAGATCAAATGGTTTTGTTATTTAGTAAGAATGCAGCTAAAACAACTACCATCGCAGGTACTATGCTTGAAAAGATCTGAAGTGAAAGCAAGAGGCCACCCTAGGAGAAATGGATTGATGACATTAAAGAGCTTCCACATTAACACAGAATGACAGTAGCCATTTTTGCATGTCAAGCAATGGATTGTAAACTGTTCCTTCCCACGGCGCTTAACAGTTGAAGTGGAAATGGATGATATTGATGATGATGATTAAACCACAAGGCTGCACTGTTCAGCAAAGAGTCCTGTCATTTCTTTGGAATGTATCTCATCAGGTGCATTATTATGTAGCTGGTCGTTTGTGGAACATCACTTTCATCATGGCACACTGGAAAGCTACTCAGTCCCTTCCTAACTTCTCTGCTTTGTTACCTTTCACGTCCAGGGTAACCTTGATATACTTATTTTCTAGTAGTTGGGATTTTCCATTCCTCAAGTTATGTTATGGGACCACAGTGGCATTTCCTCAGACTCTAGTACTCTTTATTGAACCAAAAGGTTCATAATACAGAATTAAACAAGTTGATTCAGTTGCTTACTTTATCTTGTTCAGTTATGAGATACATCAAAATATGCCAGGCAATATATTGCAGGATTTTGTGTGTGATAAAGTTGCTCATTCTGGCTTATTCTACTTTCTGGACTTTATATGTGCCTCAATTATGCTGTAAAGTCTCGACACATTATAGAATAGTCCAAAACAGAGCGATGATGTTGATACAGTTTATTGTGGTACAACAAATAAGTTGCTCAGTCGATATCCCAAGTTCTCCCTGGTTGTTGTCACTTGCTCATGACTGACTGCCATGACAGGATGACAACTAGACAATAAGTACAATTACCTGCCAGTCGGAATGTTCCATTCACTTGGGTATTGGCATCTGGATCACAGTAATAAAATGTTTACAGACACTAGACATTCCTGACTTTCAAAAACTGAGTTCTTTCAGTTCACTATTGATGTTCATCTCTGTGACGCCATCAAGCAATCTGCCACTCACACAGTCAAAACACAACTAACTCTACATTGTCTCTCCATTGAAAACATTCGTTCCAAACTCACATTTTTTTCCCTACAACTGTTTACAGAACATGGGATATACTAAACCTGCCTTTTTCACATGTCCCCAAGTTTTCCTGGCCTTCTGACCTTGTCCTCTCAATTGGAAAACTCCCTGGGGTTCCCTGGGAATTTCCATCATTGCAGTTTGGTAGATCTGTGGTGATTTTTTAGCCACTTTACATGATTTTTTATAAGTTAGGAATTCAAACTAACACTTTCCTTGTTCATTTCCTGAGACTGTTACTTAACATTATTCATTGTAATACACTACTGCCTAAAACTTTAAGAAGAAAAAGAAATTATTTTAATCTTTACTCTGTTTTATTTATGTGAAAATTGGTTACTTGCACTCAGGTGATGAATAATTGTACGTTATGTTATCACAGTCAACGTCAGTGCACATTGGGCATTCTCGTACCCATATTTTATTTATCTTATTTTATTTAAATATCTTAAGATTGGCTGAACAGCCAGAGAAAGAAAAAGTGGCCATAGCGTTTCAGACTGCATTGGAGGCATCAAGAATGAAAGCTACACCCAAAGCTATGAGAGACAAGTACTTCACATCTGGTACACAGTTTGTAGAGTGTGGTCATTTGCATCAAGCAGCCATTTGCTTCCAAAATTCACATGATTTTCTTCTGTCTGCACTTGCATTTGAGAAAAGTGGACAGGTATAGTATTCTGTAATTGTAGTTTGATCTTTAAAATGTATAATTTATTATTAATTACAGGCTCACAGACGAGTAGGTAGGTAAAAAGATAGGCAGATTAAAAATGTCTTGTCATTGACAGACTGATATCCTAATTCAATAACCATATTTCTTCTAAATTGGGATAAAGCTCCTGTAACAAGGTTGTTTCTAGAACCATCATATGTTTGTTAGGAGGTAGGATATTGCGCAAAGTTATGATTCACCCGAATTTACAAGTTTTGGGAACCTTGATGTTCCTTTTCTATAACCATCATTTGTTATTAGCAGAGAAATATTTTGCAAATGAATAATCTATAAATAGTGTATTATATGTTGACGTGCCCTATCAAAGTAAACGCATTAGTACTGGCTTTCTAGAAGTCTCCATGAGGCCAGCTGCCAAACAGATCAGTATATTTAGATGCAGAATTAGATGATGCAGTCGAGATGTAATTAGAAAATCCCACATGAGAACACACATAGTAAAATGTTGAGCCATACTAGAACATTCTAAAAGCAGTTAATGAGTACAAAACACATACCACACATTCCAGCACCTCAGTATAAAAAATTGGTAAGAGACCACTTGAGAAGACCTTCAGTTAACAAGCCTTAGAAGAGAAGGGACCAATAACATGGATCCTCAAAGAGAACCTTCAGTCATTGAAACTTTGAATCAGAGGAACCAGTCACAAAGAGCCTCGAAGACAGACACTGCATGAGACATGCACAAAGAGACAGCTGTGCTACACTCCTATTGTTAGAACACAAACTTATTTTCAAAGGGTTACTTACAAATTGTGAGTAGAAGTCCAGTTTAGTTTTGACCATTCTACCACTCCTTTTTTACAGGGCAGAATAATTATGTTAAATTCATGCAGCTGTTAACATAATATAAACACTGAGAATTTACCCAGTATGGGCTAACAGTATTAAATGAGAGAGGGAGAGAGGGAGGGGGGAGAGAGGAGGGGGGAGAGAGAGATATGCAAGCACCCAAATGCATGTGTGGCATATATGCCAAGTTACTGCTGCAGACTCATTGCAAACTAATCTAATCTTACCAGCATGTCATATACTGATGGTTTCCTTCTGCCTATCTTTCTGACATAAAAGACATGGGTTTGGGTAACATAATTTTATAATATAACTTATCTCATACTTTATCCAAGAAAAAACTTTCTTATCCATTACCTCATGCACAAGTTCTTTTTTTGTAAAAGAATCTTCTACAGTTGGATTTAGACTGGACATGTCTTGTAATTAAAGGCAGACACTACACTTGTAAGCCACTACACTTTGCTTCCTAATGCACCATTTCATTGTTCTAATGCAGAATATATTAAATGTACTATTTTATAGTTCGAAGCAGCAGCTACCCAGTACCTGCGAGTGCAGAAACCTATTGATGCTAGCCAATGTTTGGAGCAAGCTGGAATGTTTGGCCGTGCTGTACGTGTTCTTGTTGACAATGAACTGTTTGATAGAGCTATTGATTGTCTTCACAGATATGAAATGGAAGTAAAAGTGAGCAGTTTTTTTTTTTCTAAGTTAATGCCCTGTGTAATTATATTTGAGTATATGCTATTTCATCTCTGCAGGCGCAACCTAAACAAACCACAGTCAGTACAGTTCTGTACAGTTAGGGAAAAAATAAATTTAAATGTCAGCAGCTGTTGTAGTCAAGTTTTAATTTCAATGCTAGGAAAAATCACAGAAAGTGCCCCTCACTGTCCCATCTGAATACTAGTAAATACAAATTAGTCTCAGCAAAATACAGAAACATGCACATGTAGTAAATGCATCAGGCAGTCGCAAGATGTTCCATCACCAACACTTGCCACCTGAATTGCAATTTTTTTATTGATGTAAGTAGTCATTTACGATTATCTGGCCATATTATACAATATTAATGTATTTGGCACTTGACCAGATTAAATGAAAACTTACCACCAGCCATTTTGGATAGGCAGGCACAGATGAAAGACATTCTACACGAAATACACAGCTGACAGTGTTGCACCAAGCACTTAGCTCAATTGCTTAAGCAGTGAAGCCGTGGACTTTATTCTATTTGAGGAAACTTCATAAGCACACAACAACAAAAACAAGAAAACTTCAAAACTCTAATGGACTGCCTGTCTCTCCACCATATTTGCCAGAAATCCAAAAATGAACAGTAACTCATCCAATTTTTTTTCCCTCAAAGTATTGTTCCAATAAACATTTTTGTAGGTGAGCTGGCTTACAAAGTCATAACAAACAGTTCTGACAGGTGATGTTACAGGAACTTTGCTACCCTTGTCTTCATGCTGTTTTGTCCCATTGTTTTGACTAGCGCTGTAGAGAAGCTTATACCAGGTAGAATATATATATATATATACACACTGTAAATGTGTTTGCAACTACATATCTTCTTATTCTTTGTGTTCACCGGCTGTAAATTCCACTTTGTCTACTTCTGGTATTTAGTCTTGTTCCAGAGCGTACGTTATGCTTGCACAGCTGTTTTACAGACCTGGCTTATTTGTATGCAAATTGTTGGTTCCTTGCCTCACAAACAGATGCACTCTGACTTTGAAGGAAGCACCCAGTTAGTTGACTCTTATGACATGCTTGTTGGGGAGGCAATGGGTCTTTTCTTGTTTTCTCTACAATGGGACTGGAACCCACTAAGGGAAGCCACAAATCACGAGTGAAATATGTCCTAACAACCCTGAAAAGTCAAAAGTACTCAAGAAAACATTGAAAATTTCTTGGGGAAATTGGTTTCTTTTGGCTACTATCCCTGCATACCTTGTTTCTTCCTGGTAAAAATCCAGCCAGCACCATTAGACAAAAAAGATAGATAAATCTGAGCTGCTGGCGGGTCCTTTGATTTACTCAGCCTACAAAGTTTATTTAATGATTCACATGTGGTGGTCTAATTTATTGTTACTTTAAAGTAAGTATATAATGTTGATAGCATATTGTAATTAAAATTTTGAATTATACAGTATTAAAACCTAGTTACAGTTGAAACAGAAACTAAATTTAAACAGTCAGTTTCAAACATCGAGACAGGAATGTGTGCTCTCCCCACTTTTATTTAACATCTATATAGACAGAATATCTTAAGAAGCAAGTTATGATACAGACAACATAGATCTTTATAATCATTAAGAAGTACACACATCAGAAGGAGTAATTGATTTGCCCACATTAAATAAACTGCTATTTGCTGACGACCAGTGCTTGTTCTACCCTAAAGAAGATAGATTGCAAGACCCCATTAACAGGTTAAACTCAGCATGTAGTAAATACAACATGAAGATCAATATAAACAAAATCAAAACAGAGCAAGTTAGTAGAACCCCTGGCCCACTACACTACAACTGAATGGTTCTGGTCTGAATCAGGTTATAGAGTTTAAAAATCTAGGAAGTATGATCACAGAAGATGGTAGAATTTACAGAGAAATAGAAACCAGATGTCAGAAAGCAAGTGCACTTATATACGAATTGTCACCATTATTAAGACATCCAAGCATAACTATGAGTTCAAAGAGACTATAAACAGCATATTCATTCCAACATTAAGCTACCAGTGCCAAATCTAAAGCCCATATACGCAGAAGCACAGCGAGATGAAATGCTTGAGAAAATCAGCCAACTTAACCATTCGAGATAGAGTGAATAGCGAAAATATCAGACAAATTGTGTGAACAACACCTTGTACTAGATTCATCAAGAAATGGCAAATCAAGTGGTTAGAATGCAGCAAGATCAAATACCATTACATTCACTACATCTCAGAAGATCAGCTACAAGAGAAAGAGGATATCCGTGAAAAACATGGGTTGACAATATTAACTCTTTGAGTCCCAAGGAACGCGTCATACGTTCATAGATTCCTACCTAGAAGCCCAGTGAACGCAAGATGCGCCGATTTTACGTCTTTCTTGACTACCCCTCAGGCCTGTGATGCTAAACCCCCTGGGACTCAAAGAGTTAAAGACACTCTACGCCTTCATGGCATGACAATAGTCAATAGTAGCCAGCCTGTACTGGATCGCAAATTATTCCTGCTCATGATGCTTGATGGCAGAAGTGGTTTATGATAATGATGATGAGTTTCAAGCCTATAAAAGTTGGAGAACCACTAAAAATGTAAAATGAAAGTTAAAAGCGGTAAAATCAAAAGGTCAAGGAAATTAATTAACCCTTTCACTCAGGTATTCTTTTTTTTAAATAACCATAACTGCAGATTCCTGAGAAATAATTTCTTTTCTAAAATGATATTTTATGCCTAAATCACTCACAGGCTTCAAATGTTCTTGTTGACATTTTTTAACATGTGGAAATATGTGAAGAGAAGTTATCATTGAAACAAATGGAAAGGAAAATTATGTGAATGCATTACTTTTGGGATTTTTTTTTTTTAACATTGACATGTCACTAAACAGCCTTTGAAGGTGAATTATTACATCATTAAGACTTCAAAAGGAATGTGTTTTTTTTTTTTTTTTAGTTTCTTTGCACAAAAAATCCTTTACATGCAATTTTTTTTTGAAAAATGTGATCACATTTGGACCATCTCACAAACAGTAGCAAAATCGATATATGTATGCATAATGGGGACTGACAAATGGAATAAGCCAAAGTGTTGCTAGTGGAATTTGTAACAGGCAGCAAAGACAAAATGTGGGCTTCTTAGGGAGAAAGGGATAATATTAAATTAGTTGGAGTGGGGGGGAGGAGGGGGAGGGGGCGCGTATGTGAACAACAGCTGGTGTCAACAAATGGGTAAGAAACATGGACATTCAAGAGAAATTCAGTGGTGACCATTGATAAGAGAGATTAAAGGGGCCAAACTGGATTCCTTTCATGGTATCAAAATTATTGCACAGGGTAAATAGAATGAAGGAATCAACTAATTGAAGTATAAATGACACAACAGGATGGTGATATGAATTGTTCTTCTGCCCTCCCCCTCTTAAAAGAAGCACAAGGCTTCATTCAATTTATGCCAAGTCATCCTGTCCCTTGCTATCCCATAGAGCTCTCACCTCATGTGCTCTCCATCTTTTTCACTTTTTTTTTTTTATTATTACGTTTACAAAAATAACAGCAAATGCTTTTACAACTGATAAGCTTCTTCTTCTTCTTCTTCAGCATTTAGAGCCCTTGAGGTTCATTGCTGCAGATATCATCCACCTCCATTCATCTCTCTGGTTGGCCTTCTCTTTCCAGTTGGTGACACCAAATGTTTGCAGGTCTGTCTGGACCTTATCTCGTCTTCTAGGTCTGCCTCGTTGTCTATGACTATTCATCTCCCTTATGTATACAGTTTTTACTTCTCTGTCATCTGACAACTGACAATGAAACAAGTAAAATTTAATGAAAGGATTGGGATACTGCTGAAATTTTAATTTCCTCAAAAAATTAATAACATTTTAATTAGAAATGATAATTAGGTGTGTCTAATTGTATAAAATGTTTGATGCATGTTTAAACATGATATTCTTGACACTGGTGTTCATGTTTTCATTGTACAGAGGTTCAAAGATGAAGGAAAGCCTGTTTCTGCAGTTCTCATTGAAAACAAGCCAAGTGACCTGCATTCTGAAGAAAGCCTTTGTTACAGGTTTAATTCATTTTTATTTTATCTTCGTATTCTCAACACGTGAGAACAACTGTATACTCTAGATTTCAATATTTTTAAAGAGCTTTATTTAAAATAGATTTTGTTTGTATTCCTGTTTCAGCAACATAGACTTTAAACATATTTTTTATCACTTTCTGTAACGGTTAATACTAAAGAAAAATATGCGCAGAATCTCCTTAGTATTCCAAGAAAAAACTTATTAAACTGCAACAAAAAATATTCACATCAGAACATCATCAATCAGTAAGGTGCCATCTTTCTCAGACTGCTGCCCATCCGTCTCTTGATCTGTCCTCTAAATTGTATCGTTGCCTACCTCTTGCTCTCTTGCCTTCCACTTTTCCTTCCATTATGGTTTTTAAAAGCAAGTTATGGCTTTTAATGTGGCCAAAGTATTTCAGTTGTCTCTGTTTTCTTTCTTTCAGTAATTCTTTTTTTTTTTTAATAGCCTTTCCAGAACCTCTGTATTGGATGGTTTTTGCTTCCATGAAATAGGACTTATTCTTCTGTATACCCACATCTCCAGAGACTCATTTCAATTTTCTAGTTGTTTTTTCATTGTCCAAGTTTCTGCACCATATAGCAGGACTGAGTATACATAACATTTGACGATTCTCATTTTTAGTGTGTTAATTAATATCTTACTAGCTGTTAGTAACTAGCACATCGAGACAAGGGGTAAGAAAGACCAGCAGAATAATTTTACAAATCAATAACTCTTAGGCATAGTAGATCATAGTAAACAGCCACATTTGAGCAAAACAGTATCCAAAAAAAAAAAAAAGTCTTTACCACATGAGGGACAAAAAATGTCTTTACCACATGAGTGAAATAAAGCATCTAGTCAAAACGGGCACAGTTCATCTGTGATCTGGTAAAATTATAACGCTGCCTGATCAGCAGACAACAAGTAACCCGCCATTTTGTTTAGTGCAAGTTGTGCCGTTACATATGCATTGTGAAGCCAAGGGTGAACATTAACTCTGTTTCATACTCAGACAAGTTCTCCTGAGACAGCCAACTTGATGAAATGTGTTTATGAAAATTAGTGTTTATCTCATTAACGAGGTAGTATTCACGATTCTAAACTGGTGTGGAAAAGTTTGTGCACGAAGCTTGGCCTAGACATCCTATTGCTATGCATAATGATAAAGTCATTGCCAAAGTCAGAGAACGGATACACGAAGACCAATGTCTAACTGCGGATAATGGAAGATGACTATGGTGTTGACTTTGATAATGAATATGACACACAAAACACCCCTGTCACACTTTTATTCCTAATTCAAATGTTTTTTCTTCTCTTAAGAACTTATGCATTTTATTTCTTTTTGTGTTTTTTAAAATTAGGTTATGGTCAGGGAGCTCCTAATCAGCTTAGTTTCCAACATTATAAACATATCAGATATGCCATCTTGTGATCTCACTGCGCTTTAGGAAGTTTGGTACATGACTATAATGTTATCTGGCATTTCCTTATATCCCACAGTCCTGAAGAATAGCCCATAGTTTGTTTCTGTTTACTCTATTAAAAGCTTTTTTTTTTATCTATGAACACTATTTAGTTCATCGTTATATTCTGAATATTGTAAATACTTAAGAAGTTTGTAGTTTCGTCGCCCAGCTTCTGAGTTGAGTGCATGGCGTGACACTGTGAGCTGCGTTTGTTTTTCGTTGGCACAGGAGCGAAGCAACTGTGGGGTGACCCGTTTGCTATGAAGCTGAAACTAGTATTACCAGATTACCAGATTACTTAAGAAGTTTAAATGAGAAGATAACATTAAAATGTATACTGGAAAGATGATGTTAGAATGTACCACTATGGAGAGAGAGATGGTGTTGGAATGTACCACTATGGAGAGAGAGATGGTGTTGGAATGCATCACAGCTGACTTTCATTCTGAAGATAAAAACCAATTTAGTTATATCAGGTTATGCAATATGAAAGCAGAGAAAACAGCAGGATATGGTAACACACTAAAACTTGCATACTAGTTCAAGAAAATGCATTCAGTTAGGTCATCTGTCAACCTCTTTGGAAAACACTAACGACCTATGGAGTTAGTATCTAGTACTATGGAGAGAGAGATGGTGTTGGAATGCATCACAGCTGACTTTCATTCTGAAGATAAAAACCAATTTAGTTATATCAGGTTATGCAATATGAAAGCAGAGAAAACAGCAGGATATGGTAACACACTAAAACTTGCATACTAGTTCAAGAAAATGCATTCAGTTAGGTCATCTGTCAACCTCTTTGGAAAACACTAACGACCTATGGAGTTAGTATCTAGTAAACATATGTAAATGTATATATTATAGGAGCCAAGGTGTAGTGAGATAAAATGCTGGAATTACAGAAAAGTTCTGTGACAATCCGGAGTCTGTCAGGGATGTGTTCTATCCCCTCCCCTGCTATTTATCACATATGTAAATCAAATCGCAAATTTCATAAATCATAAAGTAGGGAAAAAAATGACACCACCACACCGGATGCCCCTAGGCATCTGTGTGGGAAATGTCATATGAAACTATAGAGGTCATGAAATTTAGCTGTGATAAAAGTATAAAATGCATAAGAATCAAAATGTTTATTTTGTGAACATAATTAAAATCCCATGTCTGCACGCTACCTCCTGCTGGCTCCAAAAGACATAGTCCGTGATGAATAAAATGCTCAGTATGGGGAAGTGAGGTTAAACAGTCATGAGCAAGATGTGACAATTCCTTGGGTGAGCCCAGTACTAGAGCAGCATGTACTGGCTCTACATTTATGGAATCCTCTTTGGATGGCAGAGATTACTCATGTTCTACTCCTGCCTTCTCATGAGGGCTGACCAGCATTATGTGGCTTTTCTGGACCGGCCTGATAGGGGAAAGGAGGTGGGGTAACACCTGTGACCTAGGAAACAAAGATGACTACACAGTGAGACTGTAGGTCCCATGAAACTAACAGACAAGGCTAACCCAGTCAACAAATACCTGTAGAAATTGGTTGTGTGGCAGTAAGGACAGATATCTTAGCCATGCAGTAAATGGACAAAGCACATTTACATCTTCGGATGAACACAGAGGAAGAAGATTAAATCAATAAAGCATCCCACATTTATAAGGACAATAGTGCAATGAACTCCTTTTTTGCAAATGAACACATTGCAACTACAGAGGAAGAGCTGCAGATATATCTTGATAATCTTAACACAGCAGCAAAAGCTCAAAACATGAAAATTAACACTGAAATAACAGAAGTTTATGACCATCGCAAGAAAAGAACAGCTAATCCAGATATGCAAAGAAAACCAACACTCAAGCAAATGAAAGGCTACAATTATCTAGGGAGCATGTCATCAGTGTCATCATAGTAGAGTAAGTAAAAAAAAATCAAAAGTACGCCTTTAGATAGAATATGGGAGAGCGTATATAAAGCACTCTGTGGGTAAATCACGCCGGCTGTCTTTACTTTGGACAGATGTAATACATGTAATAGTGTGATGCAAATCAATGGACAGATGTCACCAGAACATACATGTAACAAGCACTGTTTTGTTTACCATTTTTTTACCAGTGTGTCAAGTGTAGACATTAACTACAAAAGAAAAATCAAAACAACAGAAATTAAATATCAACGAAAAATCCTAAGTTTAACTAGAAGAGACAGGATCAGAAATTACGCGCAAACAATAGATTGATGGAATATACAAAGCTGTAAATACCAGCATCTACGTAGCACATAGCAAGGCTCACTCTTGATGTCTCTTCAAAACCTGATGCTGAAAGTCAGAACAGGACTAGAGAACAAGAAGGTTATACAATCCAAAGATATACCTTACCAGTGTGATGACAACCTTAGAGTAACCAAACACGTCAACTGGTATATCCATCTTTTATTTTCTTTTTGAGCTTGTCCAGATCACATACCTGCTAGATTATATTTTCCGCCTTGGCCATCAGGAAGCAACCTCTTTTTCAGCATCCCCACGCCAATTTTTGTGTGTCATCAGTAGAATTGTGTGGCAGATGCTTGGTGTATCCTGATACTTTCATTACTTTCATATACACCTTCACCTGTGCAACTTTGTGTCTGGTGGCCAATAAGCATAGATGTTCATGATTCTCCATCTTACACAGTCATCAGTGTCTCAGATCAGGTCAGGTCATTTTAAATTTGTCTTAACCACATATCTTTTTTTTTTTGCAATTGCTTGTAAAAAAATTTTCTTTGGAAATGTATGTGGTGGTTTCTCCTTGATTTCCACATTCACTAATGAGGCCTTAACATTAATATATTCTATTATGGCAGGTCAGCTAATGCCCACTTCACTCGAGGGGACAAATGTAAAGCTATAGAATCAATTAAGAGGTCCAAAAAGGTGGAGAACCAAGTTCTGTTTTTAAAAGAAAAAGAATTATGGGAAGAATTAGCACTGATTTTGAGAAAACAAGGTATGTTTTTCATTTTGTCATTTAAAAAAAAAAAATTTCTTTGCAATCTTTAAGAAATACTTGTATTTATAATGTAGGAATAAATGTTCCTGCGCATGCAACAAGCTTGTAAGTGCTCAGTCTCTTTCAGCAAAAGTATAGAACTTTATGGATGCTGATTATCCCTTCAGATCTGGATCTTTTTTGAATGTTGTTGCACCCAGATCCATCCTCTCTTTGTCCCACTGCAGTGACTATTTTGAGAAGATTCATTGGGCGATGTGAGACCATGCTTCAAGCTGTCATTGATTTTCTGCAGTAAATCTGTTCAAGTCTCGGTGAATACTGCTTGTACAGAAGCTTTTACTTTAGCTATGTCATTACTGTGTACTGCTGCTTGATGTAGACACATATTTTTACAATTAAGAGGTCCAAATGTGTAATGTTTATGAGGGGTTCCAGAACAGACAAGAGACAGTTGTGGCAGCACTTGATCTTGAGGATTCATACAATAGAGTCAGATTTGATATTTTGATGTCTGCACTAATGGAGAAGGGGTTTTTCTCTAGCTTGTGAACTGGATTGCAGCTGTCTTACATTTGCGCATGGTTGCCTTTCACCTGGGTACATGGACCTCAGAACCATGTAATATCACCCCGGGACTATCCCAGGGTTCTGCAATTTCACCAGTACTCTTCAATGTGTATACAAGCAGGATTGCAGAACTTGGAAGGATATTAGCATTTGCCTTTGCCAATGATGTTCTTGCATATAGGCAGGAGAGTGATAGGCAGCGAATAGCCCCAAGAACTACAGGAAACTTCAGACAAAGTGAATGACTAGTGTGCAGAAATGGGTGCTGTCATCAGTTCAGAAAAAGCTGCTGTTTTGTGGTTCTCTCTAGACAATAATATATACTAATATACTTTTCGTTCAGTTTTATATCTTCTCTAGACAATAGAATTGTAAGAGCTAATGTTCCAAGCCTTCCAATTAATTACAGTAACATCAAAAGAGAAAGTAAACTGAAGTACCTGGGTATCATTTTCGATAGAAGCCTGTCCTTCAGGGATCATGTAGAGGCAGTTGTGGTGAAATGCCAAAAAAGGACTCAATGCTCTCAAGATTATGGCAGCAGTGGACATTGAAACAAGGAATGCTGTTCACAATGTTGAAGCATTTGATCCTGTCATTAATAGATTAGGGACTTGAAATGCTTACCAAATCTAAGAGTCAGCTGATGAAACTTGAACGCATATAGAATGAAGCCATGCGGGTAATTCTGAGATGTACAAGAGATACCCATTTGTATGTATAAGATATGTACGTGCACTGCCTACTTTTGCTGATAGGCTCAAAGTTCTGCAAGCAAATTCACATCTCAAAGTAGCTGCAGACAAGAAGCACCTTCTGCATGAAGCCCTGGGTAGAACTAAGGGTCACAGACTGAAAAGTGGAAAGTCTTAGATGGCGCAAGCCGATGACATGATTGAACATGTGGGCAGGTTCGATAGATTTAAGCGAGAAGAGGAGTGGGTCAAAGTGTCCAAGCAAGTTTCATACTTGTGTAGGGTTCTTATCACTTTAAGTCGTGAGTTCAGGGACTGGCCAGAGTTGGTACTGCAGAATCATAAGTTCAGCACATGATTCATGACAATTCCCCGCCCGAGTGATGTGATTATCTATACAGATGGCTCTGTGTTGAGTGGCAGACGAAGTGCATGGGGGTTTATAGCAAAAGCGAATGGACGTAGCTTGGTGCAGCCAAGCCTGGCATATGATGTCACAATGTCTAGTTTGAGAATGGAGGTGTAGGCAGTCACTGCTGTCTTTTGCTGACTTGAGAATCAGCTGTACTCACCTGCTGTGATTGTAATTGACTCAGAAAGCATGTTGAGAAAGGTGGAGACAGGCATGCTCCATGCAGAGTGGCAAGCATCACTTCAGAGGTCCCGGGTAGTTAGCATCCTTTGGATATTCTCTCCAGGTCTTGCCAGTGTGTTGGGAAATGAGCAGGCAGATAGACTGGCCCATTCTGCACTGCTTGATGGTGAACTCATATATGACAGGCTGGATGTTTTGAGGGCTCTTTGGGAGGGATTGAACAGTGAGGAGGTACAGACAGAAAACGGTCTGGGGAGAATCACGCAGCAAAGAATTACAAGGGGATCTGGTCCTCAACACTCAGGGGAAAGGCAAGACGGATGTACAGTCAGACAGTTATTGGTGCATCGGAATTGGAACTCTTCGCTTGCTGTTGAATATTAGGATGAAGCACTTATGGGGGTGTCCCAACTGCTGTGATGTCGATTCTTAATTTAACATTTAACATATATTTACATGCAGAATCTACCAAAGACATGTACAGATTTGACTAAAAATCTGTTAAAAAAATGTTAAGTTCATAAAGACACTGAGCAGTGAATAGAAGTTATGTTTTCTTCTAGTCTGTATTCAGCCATTGATGTCTGTATTAATTTATTACTATAATTCAATGAAGGTTTTTGTTGCAGGTGTATGTATTTATATTTAGTCGGACTCAATGTGTGTGTTTATGTGCATACTTGTGTGTTATTTCTGTGTTTTTTTCTATTTTTCTATTTTTCAGAAATTAAACTGTTTTAGTTGTTGTTAGTAAGATAAGTAGAGTGTATGTTTGTTATTTTCTACTGGATTTCAACCAGTATTTTATGGTATCTGTTAAAAGATGTGAGTGTGTGTATGTGTTGTTGTATTTATCAGCTTTAAATATATCATTTTTGTTATCTTATTTTATTGTGGGTCTCATTTATTTTTATAGGTGACACAGAACAAGCAGCTTTGTATAAGTTGAGGAGTGGGCATGCTGAAGAGGCACTGGAATGGGCCCAACAGGGTTTCCACAAATCTTTGACAGCATTTATTTATCTTGTCATGGCACGCAGCTATGAGAATGTAGAGAACAAATTGGTTAGTTTTAACTTTTTAATCTCTTTCACTATTTTTTCTAAATACAAGGGGAAGTCATTGAGTAAAGGCAGCTGTACCCTAGTCTGCATTGAACAATATGCAGAGAAAAATATTATTTCAGGACACATAAGTATTGAAACATCCAGCATACAGCCCAGACTTAGCACTATCAGACTTTCATTTGTTTTGACCCATTGAAAGAACATTTTTTGGGGTCAGAGATTTGCAGACGATGATGAGGTGATGTCAGTGGTACAGACTTGGTAACTGGTCACACACATACCTGACAGGCATCCACAATCTTGTTTATCGGTGGACTACATGTGTTGCATGGCAGAGAGGCTATGTTGAGAAAAAGGTCATAAAACAATTCTTTTCCGGCCTCTTGTAAAAAAAAACTTTACTTAATGACTTCCCCTCGTAATTTATCATAATCTTAATTTTCTTGTATTTTAAAACATAAATTTATTTACTGTTTTTCATCATCTTCAGGTGTATTGTTAACTGCTATTTCCATTTATTACTCTCTGTGGGATTTCCAGCATCAGGTCCTATTTTGACACATATTTTTCCTGTCGCATAGCAAAGCATGTACAAGTTAATATTTCAGTACTCTCTTTTTGACAATCAGTGAAAGTGATTACTGCATAAAATATTTTCTCTGTCTGACTAAAATTCTCAGCTACTAGAGCCACTCTAAATTGGAGTTAAGCTGATGTGGTTTTCTTTTTTCTTATTACTGATTTTTGCTAAAATATTGTCTATTTTCATTTTGTATCATCATCATGATTTTACTTTTTACTTTTTAATATAAGCTCACCATCTCCCATTATCACTCCTCTTGTATTAGCTTTGTGCTCTTAAAACACCCTTGCCATGTTGTCAAGCCATCTAGATATTTGTCTCTTTGTCCTACCCTTATTCTTTTTCCAAGTTTACCAGTTGTCTAAGTTTTCAAGTTAATTTCTCTTTACAACACTCCCAACTTGTATGTCACTGTATTTGTATTTCATATTGATTGTCATTGCAGGAGAAGTTAAAGCAGTATGCCAGCAGTGCATTAATAATATACACTGAACTTCAGGACTACAGAGGACAAGCTCTATCCAAACTGATGTTAGGAAAGCACACCTCAAACTTAAAACAGACTGCTGAAGGTAGGATTGCAGAGTTTTTATGTGCACACTGGTTGGTCACTTTACTTTTTCAATCCCAAAAGATTGCACTGTAGAAGCCCCAGAGAAAATACTACTAAGAAATCACAGGTTCATGACTTCTAACTTCTTGGCCCCATAAAGATCATTTTAAAGAATGACTTTTACTCAAAGCATTGTAGAAAAGAACACATCTTTATAATTCTCAGAAACTCTACCATTAAGTTTTTGTAACAGTCTAGGGAGCTGAAACCTGTGACCGTTAAGCAGACCTGCAAGCATGGTAGCCACTGCAAAATCCAAACCCCCTAAATCTTACCAAACAACATTTTTTTTAAAGACATTTTTCTTAAAAATATAGTTTAGCACTAGATGTATGAAAGTGATCAGTAAACAAATAAGCAGAGAATAATTGCATTCATGCCTTTAGCCAACAAACATTTTTGTTTTTTAGCAGTTTGGCACAACATGACATCACTGTGACTAAAAGTTGTAATAGTGTTTTTTTTTTTTTTTTTTTTTTTTTTTCACCTAAAAAAAAATCTTTAAATTTGTTTAACAGTAAATATAATCATACCTGACCTATCAACATACTATGCAGTTGCAAATAGCACCAAAGCTGTCATTAAGGCGAAGTAGCATCATCATCATCATAAACCAATTCTGCCATTAAGCGTCGTGGGGAGGAATAATTTGCGATCTAGTGCACGTTGGCTGCCACTGGCTATTGTCATGCCGTGAAGGCGTAGAGTGTCTTTAATGTTGTCGATCCATGTTTTCCGCAGCCGTCCTCTTGCTCTTGTAGTTGATCTTCCGAGATGTAGTGCTTGTGATGGTATTTGATCTTGCTGCATTCTAACGAGATGGCCATACCACTTGATCTGCTGTTTCTCGATGAATCTAGTTCAAGGTGTCGTTCCCACAATTTGCCTGATAGTCTCATTATTCACTCGATCTCGTATGGTTAGGTTGGCTGCTTTTCTCAGGCACCTCATCTCGCAGGAGGTAATTTTGCGTATATGGGCTTTAGATAGTGTCCATGTTTGGCACTGGTAGCTTAATGTTGGAATAAATATGCTATTAATAATCTGTCTCTTTGCACTCATAGTTATGCTTGGATGTCTTAATAATTGTGACAATTGGTATAGAAGTGCACTTGCTTTCTGACATCTGGTTTCTATTTCTCTGTCAATTCTACCATCTTCTGTGATCATACTTCCTAGATATTTAAACTCCCTAACTTGATTCAGGCCAGAACCATTCAGCTGTATGTGTAGTGGGGCAGAATGTCTACTAACTTGCATTGTTTCGGTTTTGTTTACATTGATCTTCATGTTGTATTTACTGCATGCTGAGTTTAACCTGTTAATGTGGTCTTGCAGTCTATGTTCTTCGGGTTAAAACAAGCACTGGTCGTCAGGAAACAGTAGTTTGTTTAATGTGGTTGAATCGATTACTTCTCCTGGTGTATGTACTTCCTCGTGATTATAAAGGTCTATGTTGTCTGTATCATAACTTGCTTCTTTAGATATTCTGTCTATATAGATGTTAAATAAAAGTGGGGAGAGCACACATCCCTGTCTCACATCTGTGTTGACTGTGAACATATCTGATATGCCTTCTTGTGTTTTTACTGCACTTTGGCTTGTGTGGTACATGGCTATGATGTTCTCTGGTAACTGTCCTTGTACCCCGTAGATCTCAAGAACAGACCATAGTTTGTTTCTTTCCACTCTGTCAAAAGCTTTTTCCTGATCTATAAACACAATATTCTGTTTGGTATTATACTCAATGGCTTTCTCACACACTTGCCTCAGAGTGAATAATGCATCTGTGCATCCTCTGCCTTTTCTGAAACCGAATTGTGATGCACACAGCTGTTGTTCTGCTATGGGTCTAACTCTCTGTTCTAGTAATTTGGCGTACATTTTTCCTACGTGACTCAGTAGTGATATACCTCTGTATGCTTCAAATTCTCTCCTATTACCTTTCTTTTTCCATATCGGTACTATTAATGCCTGTTGCCACTCAGCTGGGACCTGTCTTTCTTCCCAAGCTATATTAAACATTCTAGTAAGCCATTTAACACCCACTTTTCGGCAGGCTTAGATCCCTTCTGTATTAATTCCATCCAGACCTGGTGCCTTGTTTCTAGGGCTGTTCTGTATAACCGCTCTTACTTCCGCTGCTATGAAATTTGGTTCCTCTTGTTCGCAGCTTTGAGGTACAAAGATAACATTATCTACGTTGCCTGTGGGGTTGAGAAGTTCTTGAAAATACTCTGCCCATCTTGCCAACCTCTGTTGTGGACTAAATAGAGGTATGCCTCTTTTGTTGATGATAGTTGTTGGGTTGTAGCTTATGTCTCTTTCTCTCATGATTTTTACATGTTTATAGAATTCTCTAGGGGAGTTCTTGCTGAGGGTAGCCATCTGTTGACCATAATTTCTCCAAGACTCGTCTTTGGATGTTTTAATTTTGCGTTTTGCTTCTCTTCTTACTAATCTGTAATGTACATAATCTTGATGTGATTTTGATTTTATCAATTTTTTATATGCCTTCTTCTTTCTGGATACGCTGTCTTTAACTTCGTTGTTCCACCAAATAGTTCTTAAACGTTTTACACCACCTACCCTTCTGACTCCGCATTTGGTTTGAAGTGTGTTGAGCATTGTCGTCCTAAAACAAGTCCACTCTGAATTGATGTCTGAATATTCGCCTGGAAGGTTATTTAGTAGCTCTGACATTACTTGTTGAATCTCATCTTTAACCACATTATCCTGAAGTCTCTGGAAGTTGATAATATCTGTAGTTACTATTTTATGCCTTGGTTTTCTGTATTCAGTGTTTTTTTCTATGATAACTGGTCTATGATCTGTGTCAATGTTTGTGTTTGGTAGGACTCTTGAGTCTATTAATTGTCTTCGTTTTGTCTTCATGAAGAGAATAAAGTCAATTTGGGAAGCCTGCTCTAAATTGTCCCATTTATACCACGTTTTGGTATGTTTACACAATGGTTGTTGTTCTAGACCCTTCGTGATCTGAATGAGAATGAATCTTTATGATATAAATTCAGTGTGTATAATGTTTTTTGCATTATCGGGGTGAATTATAAAACCGACTCCATATTTAGCTCTCGCTTGTTGTTCGACACCGTTCCACACCAGAACATAATTTTCGTTTATTAGTTTTATGGTGTGCCCCTTTCTTCTCGTATCCGCTAATCTTATATTTGAATATTTGATTTCTTCATGAATTCCACTAACTCAGGTTCTTTGTTGCCCAATCCACTAACATTCCAGGTTCTGAATATCTCCTTGTTTCTGAATTTTTGCTTGCTGCTGTCATTAGTTTGTCGATGGCGCTCGTTTGTTGTTGTTCGCTTGCTATCGAAAGCTGGTTTGTTGGTCGTGTGTGTAATGTGAGCGCTGTTTGAAGTACTCTTTTTCTTCAAATTCCTCCATAGTTCTTGCGCAATTTCCAGTGAACAAATATATTCCTTACCGGTTTGCTGGACCTATCGCAGGATCATCCTTATTTGAACACACTGATATTTAAAAACACACATTTTCATCCCACAGAATGTTAACCGACTTTCGTTTACTCCGCCATCCATGTAGTAGCAACTACTCAAAACCTACTCATCAGACATTGCTTTCTTCCTCAATAATGGTTGTAGGACCTGGTACTTATTTGAGACTTAACTAAAGATTGTTTCTTAATGTCTTTGTTTCTGAGATGACCCATATTATATTAGTTTGTATGATTGTAATTTTTACTACTAAAGATAGTGATCAGTAAAAACATCTGTACCTTGTTAAGTATCTTAATAGTATCAAACAGGGATCTGAATTTTTTTACATATGCAGATAATTATCAGTTTCATTAGTTGTTTTTTGTCTTGGTGATTCCCATGTTGTCTTGCATTTTTATATGTGTGAAAATGTGTCTGCCAATAGCATCATGCACAAAAATTGGTGCCTTACTCTCCAGGTTTATTCATTTCTCCTGTGTGCTCCCATAATCTCTTCATTGCCTGTATTATTGGATTCTGTTGGCATTCAGGTCACCCATTGGAATGTTTATATTGCTATTTCTTCCATTTCTTATAATATTTTTTCCTTAACTGATTCATTATTATCATTTATTGATGTGTAACATAGACATTTTCACTTTCCTTTTGGTTGTTCTAAATGATACTCTTATTATTCTGGAACTCACAGCTTCCCATTCTGCTAGTGCCCTCTCTTACTCTTTTGAAAGCATCAGGGCCACCTTTTAACTGTGGAGAGAATTTTCTTACATATATCCTGAGAACATTTTCACCCGAATTTAAAATATTTCCACCCCAGCCAGTACATCTGGTTTTGATAATCTGAAAAAATACTAATCCTATAATATTTAATTTCATTTACTACCTCTACTGCCTTCTCCATTGTACACATTTCTAACATTTCAGATGCTCCTTCTGGATATTTTCCTACGCCTAAGGAGGTTTCTTTCGTTTTTGTTTTCTGCACGACATCATCATTTTTCCGGTGTAAGAAATATTACCATCATTTTGATTGGCTTGTTATTACTTGTAACTCTTTAATTCTTTTGTTTGTTGGTTGGTTTTTGTGCGTGTTGTGTTTTGACAGAACAGAATAACCAACAGCAAGCCTATCCCTACCCTTTGCTGATTTTTAAGACATGCCTGGTAGGGTGCAGTGTTACTATTCTTTGCTTCCAATGAGAACCTAGTAACATACAGGTGCAACGACAGTGTATCTTTTCTTAACTTTGTCATCTGTTCTAAGTATTGCTAAATGTAGCCAATGTTCTGCGGGAACTCATTGTTCCATAACTGTTTCAGCACAACATGACTTTACAAATGCCAAGCCCCCAAATGTGGCAGGAGCTTTTGAGTGCTTTAAGATCCTTGCTGCAGCCAAACAGAACTGGAACAGTTTGAAAGATTGCCATGAAGCTATAAAGAATATTAGCAATGGATTTCTTGTAAGTAGAACTGTAAAAAAAAAAGTGTCTTGCAAAATTTCAGATTTTGTTTAAATCAGATTATTTAATAATTCTTCACTTGCATTAATTACATCAGTTGAAATTAGTTTCAAACTTCCTATGCAAATTATTATTTGGATCCAGTCTTATGCATGTTAGAGTGACTCCCAAGTGGTGCAGAAATATTGTACACTTTGTGAACACAGACAAGATCTACAGGGACATAGCTAGTCTACAGCTCTCTATTGGTGATTTCAACAAAAAGGCATGAGATCATTTTGTCAAAATGCAAAGGAAGATGTTATAAGAGAAAAACCTCAGTGAGGAGTGACTTGTTAGAATGTAATGTTGTGAGAAAGGAAGGAATGTATGTGTCTTTTCTTTACAGTCTTCACATGACTTTTGAAAGCTGGTCAGAAAGCTAAATGGCTTGTAAAAAAACAGAAACTGACAAAAGTAATGAAATAGAAACATTGAAAATAAGGACTAAAGTACCAAATCCACACCAAATACTTTTTTGGTAGAGATGAATGTTTTTTAGTGATAAAAGCCATTTCTGCACTCAAGGTCAAAGAATTCATATGTTCTTATACCATATAAAGTTATTATGGCTTCATCAGATTGTATCACTGCAGGGCAGAATGCATTTGACATTATAATATTTTAGTATATCAGACTTCTCAACAAAGCCTGTTCCCTAACTAAAGAGACATTTCCTGAAGGATCTGGTTTCTTTTAACAGTTGCTGATCTTCTACCACACATTAAAAAATGGTGAATAATTTCTTAAATAATCCAAGTGGTCTGGAAATTCAGTTTACACCATTAAAATGTATGGCTTATTTGCAAACAAAGCTTTTCTGGAATTTATGTTTGGACAAAGGATAAACTTATTTGTAAGATTCTAACTACTTAGGTGTGGTACGGAGACCAAGATTGGCAGATGACTGTTCAGCATTAGTATTTTCCATGTCACACTGCATGCATCATGTCACAAAAGCCAAGGCTTTGCAAAACAGTTTAAACTTTTAAAAGCAGTCATACGGAAGTAACCATTTTTCAAGCTTATTTCACTAAATACAAGATTATAATGTTTATCAACATGTAAATGATGGCTTGTGGCTGTATTTGCTTTACTTCCGGTCAAAATGGACGCTAGGCATGGCCACTGTTTTGAGCCACAGCAAATTTTTTGCTTCTGCCAGATGGTGGCTGTTGCATTTTTGCTCCGTTTGTAGACTGAAAGGATCAGTTTTGTCGCCCAGCTTTTTGGTTGAGTGCATGGCATGACACTGTGAGCTGAGGATTTCATTTAGAATGCTTTTTCACTGTGACCAGCATGGTGGTATGAATTGTAGATTCAGAAAATGGTGCGATGCTTGTTGTCGCAATATTGATGGTGCTATTGTGTGATAAAAATTGATTGCGTGTGCAAATGCTGATCTGTTGGTAACTTCTGCTACCAACCATGATGAACTGCATCTCTAATGTCGGACAGTTTGTGCTGGCACTTTGGATGGCTGCCGTATGCTGAGACAGAAGTCTGTCAATCTTTCCACAAGGGACTGTGATGAACATTCTGTGTGTTTTTCGTTGGCACAGGTGCGGAGCAACTATGGGGTGACCTGTTTGCTATGAAGCTGAAACTAAGATTAACCAGATTTACTTTACATGTGGAGGAAATGCACATTTTCAGTCATGAGTCAAATGTGTTGCTTGGGCTATATTGATATTGTTGTTGTGCTGAGACACCCTGTAGGGTTATTCATAAGTCCCTCCACAGAAAAGTTTGTAGTTTGTAATGTCTCCATAAAGCAAAGTCACTGTGGAGGGACTTATTGAACACCCTATATATGCTATCTCTAACAACAAAGCTGCTGAGGTCTTGCCAGTGTGTGTCATAATTTCTTTCTTGCGGTTTCTTGTCTAACAGTATTACTTACAAAATAGGTAAATTCCATTGATTTTGAATTTTATTTTTTATTCTGCTCATATTCTATTTAATAAATCTTTCACTAAATTTGTGGTCACATCATCTGCTGCCTTGAGCATTTCTGCAGTAATTTCATCATCACCTGGATTGCCTCCTTGTCATTTATCTGTCCTGTATTTTATGATAACATGTTTATTTTAGTCTAATCAAAATCAGTAGTTCTTCTGTACTGGGTCTATGTTCTATTTAAAGTCTGTTGAAAGTGTTCTGCCCATCTTTTCTTCTGCTCAGTATTACATGTAAGTGTTTTACCATCCCTGCTTTTAATAGGACAGCCCCACAAAAGTACTAGTTAACCTTTTTTAGTGTATTATATGATATTTTACAATTTTCACTCTTAGCTGGCTGTTCTCCTTCTTTAGATAGTCTTTCAATATATATCTTACCATGCACAACTTTTTATCTTTCTTGCTGTAGTCTTCTAAAGCCCTGATTTTATGTTATGAGAATTCAGCATTGCGTATGGCAAGCTTCAGTGTTTATCTTTCCTGAAAACACTTTCATGTGTCATCACTTATTTGGGTTTTTCTGTCATGCTTCTTTAATCCTGCACTAATCGTTGCTGCTTCTAAAATTGTAGTCTTTACAACTTTCCATTTGTCCTCAGTGCTCTCATCTCTCTCTGCTCCAAATCTGATTTTTTTCATCTGAAGCCTGACCTGTTCTCTTACTGTTTCACTGCAAAGTCTTTGACTATCTGTTCTTTGTTGCACATGTTTTTGCACAGCTAATTTAAATGTAAGCTTTAGTTTTCTCACACATTAGATATGGTCACTGCCCACATCTGCTCCTCTTTATATGCTTGGATCTCTCAAATTCCATTAGTGATAACTGCTATCAGGAGATTATTAGTGTGGATGATATAAAACATATCTTGCAGAAATCAATGGACACTGCGCCTGGGCCAGATGGAGTCAGGTATACCTACATGAAGGACATGATTGATGAAAACTTGAGGGAGATGGCTTTCTACTTTAACGAGAGTATCAGAACGGTGTCAGAGCCCCTGGACTGGGTGCACAGCTGTTTAATACCTCTTCCAAAACTAGGCAGTGATCAGTCAAGACTTAACAGTTTTAGAATGATCACTCTTCAGAATACTTCTGGCAAGGTGCTTGAGAGGATTATTGCTGTTAAGCTGCAGACTTTTTTAGAAGTGAAAGAGCTCTTGCCAAGTGGACCGGGTAGTAACCGGCCAGGGAAAGTTACCTGTTTAAAGGCTGCCACATTTGCTTTTGATGTTTATGAGGGGTTTCAGAAAAGACAGGGGATGGTGGTGATGACTCTTGATCTTGAGGATGCCTACAATAGAGTTTGATATGATATTTTGATAATTGTGCTCATGGAGAATGAGGTGTGTCCCTGGCTGGTGAACTGGATAGCAGCTGTCCTGCATTCACATAAAGTTGCCCTCCGCCTGAGTACATGGACCTCAGAAGTATGCAATATCGCCCTCGGATTACCCCAGGGCTGTGCAGTTTAACAAGGGTGCTTCAGTGTGTATACAAGCAGGATTGCAGAACTTGAAGCACTAGATGTTTGAAGGATATGACATTTGCAGATGATGTTCTTGCATAAAGGCAGGTGAGCAACAGACAGCCCAAGAACTACAGGTAACTGTAGACAAAGTGACTGACTGGTATGCAGAAATGGATGCTGACACCAACTCAGAGAAGGCGACTGTTTTATGGTGCTCTCTGGTTATTGAATTAAGAGTTGATGTTTAGGTCTCACAATTAATGACAGAAACATCAAAAGAGAAAGTAAACTGAGGTCATGGGTATCACTTTCAATAGAAGCCTGTCCTTCAGGGATCATGGGAAGGCAGTTGTGGCAAAATGACAAAAATGATTCAATGCACTTAATTAAGGTCATGGCAGTAGTGAAAATGGAACAAAGAATGTTCACAATGTTCCAGCGTTCCATCCTGTCATTGATATACTGTGGACTTGGAATGCTTACCATATCAAAGTATTAGCTGTGGAAACCTGAGCCCTAACAAAATGTAGCCACACAGCTAATTATAGGATGTACAAGAGATACCCTGGTAGTATGTTTGTGGTAAACACTTGCACTTCCGGTTAAAATGGACGCTAGACAGCGGCGCTGTTCGAAGCAGAGGCAAATTTTTTGCTTCTGCCCGACGGTGGCCGAAGTATTTTTGCTCCATTTGTAGACTGGATATAGTTTCGTCGCCCAGCTTCTGAGTTGAATGCATGGCGTGACCCTGTGAGCTGCGGATTGCATTTGGAATGTATTTTCGACTGTGACCAACGTGGTGGTGTGAATTGTAGATTCAGAAAATGGCGTGATGCCTGTCGTGCAATGTTGGCTATGTGATTACAATTGATCGCGTGGGCAGCTGCTGATCTGTTGGCGACAAGTTCCGCTATCATCAATGATGAACTGCATTTCTAATGTTGGACTGTTTGTGTTAGCACTTCGGATGGCTACCGTATGCTTTAATGCGAGTATATGCTAGATATGCTGAGACAGTCTGTTAATCTTTCCACAAAGGACTGTGATAAACATTCTGAGTGTTTTTCGTTGGCACAGGAGCGGAGCAAAGATGGGGCGACCCGTTTGCTATGAAGCTGAAACTAAGACTACCAGACTACCAGACTTCCGACTATAGAAGATAAACTCAAAGTGCTGCAAGCTAAGTCATATCTCAGAGTCTCCCAGATAGGGAACACCTCCTGCACGAAGCCCTGGACTGAGCAAAGGATCACAGACTGAAAAGAAAAAGGTCTTGGATGGCGCTGAAGACACAATTAGACATGTGTGCAGATTTGATCAATTTGGGCGAGGAGAGGAGTGAGTCAGAGTGCCTGAGCACAAATCAGACTTGTGTAGGTTTCTTAACACTTTGAGTGGTAAGTGCAGGGACTAGCCAGCCGGTGATGTAGAATCAGATTGTCGACAAATGATTCATGACTATTCCCGCCCAGGTGATATGATAATCTAAACAGATGGTTCTGTGTTGAGAGGCAGATGAAGCTCATGGGGGTTCTTAGCAAAAGTGAATTGATGTCCCTTATGCACCAAGCCTGGCATATGACACCACAACATCTAGTTTGAGAATGGAGGTGGAGGCAGTCACTGCAGCATTTTTCTTGCTTGAGAATCAGCTGTACACTCATGTCCTTGTTGTAACCGAATAACAGAGCATGTTGAGAAAGATGGAGACAGTGAAGAGTGGTAATCGTCGCTTCACAGACAAAAAAGTTAGCTTCTTGTAGATATATTTTCCCCAGGATATGCTGGTATTAGGAAATGAACAGGTAGATAGACTGACTGGCTGTGCACAACTTGGTGGTGAATTGATGCATGACACGCTAAATGTTGTAAGAGCCCTTTGGGGGGCGAGTGAAAAGTGCGGAAACACAGATGGATCATCAAGGTCTGAAGAGAATTGTACTGCAAGGAGTAACTAGGGTATCTAGTTAACGATCAGCACTCAAGGAAAAGGTGAGACGGATATACAGTCAGACAGCTATTGGTAACATTGGAATTGGAACTCTTTGCTTGCTGCTGAAGATGGGGATGGAGTGCCTATAGGAATGTCCAGAGTTAATTGGTTAATTTCCTTTTTCTGCAAAGATAGTGACTCAGATGATTAGATCTGACTGCATGCATAATTTAGCTAGTTGTTCTCCATTTTCATTCACTTTATAAAATCCTTCCTTTACTATAGCTCTCTCACCACCATTTTCACTGGCCACTTTTGCAATAAATCTCCCACTTCTCTGTATTACTATCTCAGATTGCCACGTTTAAAAATGTGCTGCTGCCACAGTCTTACACAAAAATATTTCATTTATACGTTTGTTATTTCTAGCAATACTTTACTACTTCTAGCAGTCACAGCTGGAGAGATCATATGATATGTTGATCATGATTTCCGCACAAGACATAAAGTCAAACATACTTATTTTATTGCTGGTCCGCATCTCAAATAGAGTGGTTAAATAAAGATGAACATTTACTTTTACAGATGATAGACATGCTGTTGAATCCAGCTGCAGAAAACTCTGACAAACATCAGCTCTGTCTGTCGTTCTATGGCTTAGAGATGGATGCTGTGAGACAACAAGTCAAGTGGTATCCTCATGAGTATCCATTTTGCCAAGATTTTCTGGGGCCTGCACAGAAAGAAGCGAGATGTGTCACACTGAGCAAAAAGGAAGTACGGCTCCTTTTCTTTTGTCTCTGATCAGCTTTGTCAGTTGTGCTACAGTAAATTTCTTATCTTTTACAATCATTTTAGAACTAAAGCATCAGCTCTGGTCTAAAATGTTTACACAGAAAGTTGTGCCTCTGTGAAAAGTGGTTATGTTATAGAATTAAATACATGAATATTGTTTGGTCTGCTTTTACTAGGGATGTTAATATAAAGGTCTGAGTTCAAGCAAGGAAGAAGTGTAAATTTGTTTTTGGCAAGAAGGTTTTTACATCTTGCAGATAGCTATATCTCCTTTGGCGATTCTTGTTCTCATCTTTGCAGAGCAACTGTACAAGAGGTGGTGATCATTTCAGTATTCACTTGTTTAAAAAAAAAATTTCACTTAGGTGATATTGTGATATTTCTTTCTTCTTGCAGACAACCTTAACTCTTTAAGGCCCAAACAACGGTGTGAGCGTAGTTTGAGAAGTTCCATTCTGCCCAAACAACGGTGTCATCGTAAATCGTGTATCTCTTACATTTTGCTTCGCATGCGCGTTCGTACTAGTTTCTAATGTTTGGAGGTACGAATAACCTATTCACGGAAAGTCACTCTGCCGAAATCCTTTTAGTTTCACTTCTTGGACTAAACCACACGTGGATAATTTGAGAGAAAAAAACATCTAATTTTTTTTAACAGTTTATTTTCTAAGTTCGTTTTTGAGTGCACTGAATACCAATGTTCTAACCACAAGAACAGGTCGCAGAATACGTCTTTCTGCGGCAGAAGCTCTGAAATTGTTTCAGTCAGTTGTTTTTAATTGTGAAAATGATAATAAAAATTTAGATTTTTCGGAAAGTGATTCAGACAGTGAATTTTCACCAGTGAAGCTGAGCGATCAGCTGTTCGGAATCTTGCGATTCTGACGAGTTTATTACACAGACAATGTCCCATACTACCGTATTTATGGTGTAAGAGAAGGAAAGTGCTCTAAACAAAGAGATAGTACTATACTATAGCTAAGCTACATTGAAATCATCGCAGCTACAGTCTGTAAATAACTGTACAAAGTGAATAGAAAATAGTGTGTGTGTTATGGCTCATTTTTCTGCCATTTTTTCTCTGAAATTTTGCTTAGCACTCGGTGGGAACTAAGAGCCCCTGAGTGATAAACTAACCCAGAAAGTTATCATAACTTTAGAATATGTTAGAAAATTGAACAAACTTTGAAGTTTTGTTCTCAAATTTGGATATTTACTATTCTTGTGGCTGCAAAACCATGGTAAGTGAAGAATTTTTTGGTGAAATGTTGTCCTTGTGAAATTAACACCTGCTGAATTCTTCTTTTCCACTAACTATAACAAAATTTAAACAAACACTTATCATCAGATTCAGAATGTAAACTCATTTCTCGTTTAAAAAATATATACTGTTATAGGGATTAGAAGTATATTACAGTCTCTACAGCCTTTCTTGTACACCCACCCCTCTGCCATTTTTGTAAAGGGAAATTAATGTGGGCCAAGTCTGTCAAGATTCATGGGCCTGTAAGAGTTAAATTCTATTTTCTCAAGTTTAATTAAATTCATTGTAGCTAATTGTTTACTGTGTATGATTATTAACCAAAGATATTAAAGATAATATCACAGAGGAACCCATTCTGGCACAATAACTTTTCAAGTCAAAACATACACTATGTTACAATGTAGAATATTTACCCATATTTCTTGAGGTCTAACATGCACACTGTTACACAGATCATGTTGCACTGATACACATGGATAATAATTGATAACACACTGTGTGTGCATTGGTTGGGACAGAGATTTAAAATCCTGAAGATTTAGAAAAGCAGTTTATATATTCTATTTTGTTTCAGATAAATCTTTATTATTTCAGTTTTCTCAGGTACATCTGTTTCTTTTTTTTATTGCAGGCCGTCAGTGGTTTAGTGAAATATTTTATCTCCAACATTGAGAAATGGGCAATGATGGTACACAGATGGCTAGAGGAGCACATGTTTTCCCGTACACAATGCATCATTTATAAACAAGGACAAGTCTGCAGTACTGAAGGTTGCAAATACATGCATAAGCCTTATGAATCACGACAAGAGGAACTTGAAGCATTAAATTTCCTTCTATGCTCAGTATGTGTAAATATTTATGCTGTTTTATTTAACATTCTTAAACATTAAGTAATCTTGAGATTTAGCTGTATCATTCAATTAGCTTTGTGCTGCAACACATCACTGACAAACTGTGCAAATTTCTGTTTGGGAAGGCTAACATCGGTAACAGACACCTGAAGAAGTTGGATATATTGGCTGAAATGTGCAAATATTGCAGCCACCATGTAAACCAGCACAGTGCAATTACGCCCTCAGATGACCAATGCAGCAAAAGAAAAATAAGTGTAAACTGTATAACAGAATATCTACTTTGTTCAGTGTTAAAAATAACAGTAAGCTAGAAATTAATTTATGTGATTAATATTTTTATTTGGTAGTCTACTGACAAAAAGACAGCATATAGAAATAAACTGCTTCTTCTTCTTTAGTCCTGTTCTGCATTTCAGCGTCAGATTTTGAAGAGGAATTGGGTGGGGGGGGGGGGGGGGGGGGGGGGGGGGCAAATCTTAGTAAGTGCTAACTAGATGCCGGTATTTACAGCCTCTGATAACCCATCTGTCCTGTGCTTGTATAGTCGACCTGTAGTTTTGCTTTCATTATGTCTAAATGACATGGCTCTTTGTAGTGCACTATCTGGTGGTAGTCTTAGCACATGCCTGAACCATTTGATTTGTTGTCTGTTGTAGTTTAATACTGGTTCCGCTCCAACTTCTTTCCTGATATAATTCATTTCTGATCCTGTCTCTTCTAGCTGTATTTTGGATTCATGTAATTTCTGTTGTTTTAATTTTTATTTGTCCCCTTTGTTGTTAATGTCAACATTTGGCACTGTTATCACAATGTTGGTAAAAAAGGCTGTATCGAGTAGTGCTCTGTTGGTGTCTGTTGTTGCATGTTTGTTCTACAGTATTAGTGACATCTGTCCAGTGTTTTGATTTGCTGTATTACCTGTGGTCTGTGTCGTAGGTGTTGCTTCGTGGTGCCAGGTACGATTCCAACTGCAGGCCTTGCATTGGTTTTGACAGTGGTATCATGAAGCCGACCGTCCAGAAAGCAGTGGCAAACTACTGGACGTAAATTTGTCAGCCAAAAAATTCTGGGGTTGGTTCTGCAATGTCCTGTAAAGGATAAGCAGCTAACTTTAACTTTAACGTATGATAAACATGTTCATGTTATCAAATGAGTGGCACCTGGGCCTCTCCTATTCAACCAAGTGCCATTTAATTATAAATATCCTCATACTCTGTTGTCCCCTATCAAATTTTGTTTTTATCCAGCTTTAGTGGAAGTAACAATTTCCTGGCATCTCTAGTGGCTAGAGACTCAAAAATCTGTTTCACAAGGATATTTACAAAGCAGACACTCCAAAGATCTGTGGTTGGAGACTTAGTCTTTTGTTGTCACACTGTTGTAACCTAGTGTAGTTGTTTTCTGTATTGTCTTGCATTTTCGTGGTGTTTGGGTGGCCTGAGTGATGGTTTTATTCATTTTTTCCCTGTTTTCAGCTATGCCGTCCTTCTCTTCCTTGGTCTTCCTCTCACCTTTCACCCAGCTGTTCTGCTGTAGAATGTGTTTTATTTTTATGCAGTTGGTCTGGCTGCATTCTTTCTATGCTGGCATTTTGTGATCCTGTCCCTTCTTGTATTGTTAGTGACTGTTTTCTTTTTTAAAGACAGCACATTTATAGGGTCATTATTTTCTGTTCTGCTCATGTCTGGCAAGTTTCCAAGTTTTTTTATGTGCGGGTTATATTAGCTGCCTAACTGTTTTGAGACTTTCTGTACACAGTTGTTCTTGTTTAGGTCTCATGTATTTGCCTTCTTATTATTAGATCTGTTCTGTATGACCAGGAATCAGCTGCATAATTATCTTAGTGTTTTGATTTAGGGATGTCTGGATTGTGGTTCCACTCTACCCTGCTCACCTTTTTTCTGTAGCCAACAGAGTAGAAAATAGTTCTTAGTCTAATTTTCTGCTTCACAACAAATGGGTCACACACCCACACAAAAATACAAATTTCCTATCACTTTCCTAGACAGCAGTCCTGGCAAAGCTAATAGAATAGGTATTACATGCATAAGGCAGCCACCAGAGGTAACAACACCAACAGTCTGTCACTAGAATTGCTGTTCATTGTTGATGGAAGCAGTCAGTCAAAACAAAGTAGTAGCTACACAAACAGTATTGCATAAGGCACTGAGCTAGTCTTATGTGACAGTTTATCTATTCACTTTGATATAACATTGATTGTGACATTGTTATTCAAAATGTCAAAATCAGACTGCAGAGTTTTACACCACTTTATTATAGTCTAAACAATAGCGTTTTATAGAAGATTTTCATCTCATTTTCAGTAGGAATATTATTATCTGTGTATACAATTGGATATAATATTATATATATAGTAGTTATAGATATAGAATTATATACATAATAGTTATTAAAAAAATTTTTATACAGTTTTTATTGTTTTATTCCAAGGTATAACTACCAATTAAAATACTCCTAAGGATCATTTTTTAAACAGAATTGACATTTAAAATTTTTTTTTTTTCAAAATTTTAAAGAATATATATAAGCTGTCTTTATATCAACACTTTCTTATACACTACCTTCTCAAAAAAGTAGTCTAATCTTGTCATTATTAATGCAGGAAATATTTTTTTTTAAAGATTTTTAAAAAAAAATACATTTACAAATCAGCATTACTTCTCTAATCTAACTGAGGTGAATGTTAATTGGAATCACTAGTCTATTTTGAAATAAAGTTACTGACCTCTAAAGCAGCACAGCAACACTGCTTCAGATATCATTACAGTACAAACACAATTCTGTTAAAAATGATCTTTTTTAGGCTTTTTCATTTTTAACTTCATTTCATCAAAAATACTCAAATATTGTTAAAACTGTTGAACAAAATAATGATCTCAGTAGATGTGTTTAAAGAACAACCAACAATTATTGCTACTGACACTGAGTAAAGCTGAGAGTTACTGAGAAACTTGCAATGCAAATTTGTTGTGCAGAGTTGTGAAATTAAATTCTAATTGTGTGAAAACAGTGCTGTGAAAAATATAAACAGAATATAGAGCAGCTATACCTCAAAGCAGACATCAAACCATTACTGAATTTATCAATAATTTCAAAAATTATCATTTTGTATGAACAGGTACACTTGGATTACAGCATGCAGACTGGCATGGAAAAACTTGGGGAAAACAAAGCAAAGTCTGATGTCCAGTATCCACAAATGGAAGCAACCAAATGGAATTCTGTGAAGGAGCTAATTCAGTTTGTATGTCCTGCTCATCCATCAGCTCTGAGATGCCACTTTGAGCATGTGCATGAGATTGTACGTAAAGTGCAAACCTCAAAAGTGTTACCTCAGTTGGAAAGGTACGATACAAGCTGTCTATAAAAATATATTTAATTTGTAGAGACAGGTTGTTGTGTTCAAAATAACTATGAAGTAGGCAGTAAACACATAATCATGGTAAACCTTTCACTCCCAGAGAGTATGCACGAGCAGTCATTTTCCTTGGGAAAGTAACAAAGTCAATCCTGTCAAAATGCTTTCCAAACATATCTGTGGACCAAAAGCCACATTTGGCAGCGTAAATTGGCAACTCTGATAAATAGACAATAGTAGTAACAAGATGTCATTTAGTAGGTTGGAATTGTATTTACACTGCCCTAGCAGCAGCATATCATTGTGAGAATTTGAATGCTAGAGCATGAATTAATTAATTCATGATGCTCTATATGCCAGTGTTCACTTACTACAAGATCCTCTATCAAATTTTGTTTAGAACCCTCAATCTCCACCCCCCCCCCCCCCCTTATTTTGTGTTAACCCATAATATGTGACATAAACATAAATTTTGCATGATGATCTGTGCAGACCAGTAAATTTGTACATATAGCTTCTTGTATTTTGTCTTGTTAGTGTCTTAGTGGTTAGTCATTAGACGCAGTTTGAACTTCATCGCAACAGGTCATCGCATAATAGCCCCATTTTTATACCAATAAAAACTACACAAAATGCCACTCCCTGTCACATAAAGTTGAACAGATTGCAGTAGTGGCAAAGCCAACATCATACTATTACATGAAGATATTTATTATATAAAGGCAGCCAAAATAGGTGTCACCACCGGTATTCCACCATGGGAAGTGTAGTTCATCATCAGTGGAAGAAGCAGTCACTACAAAACTGATTACTGATTTAACAATCAGCATCATAGCACATTGTGCATGCAAAATGATATCTGAAGAAACTATTTCCAACCTCATATGGCACTAGTTTTTATCTACTGGGGTAAACATTTAAAGGGAGGCAGAGATGCTTGACTACATTTTGTGGTGTACCATGATCATGGCTCATAGTGGTCACAACCTATCTACACATCTCTGTGGTCATCCTAGATTCCACCTCCCTACCAGGCACCTGACCAGTGTAGACAGGATCAATGTTTTGTTCAAAGTTGGATTCATCTGCCTGAAAGGAACCAAATAAACTAAATCTGTAAAGCAGATATTCGTACAACACTCAAGTCGCGAAACAGAGCCAACGTCCAGAAGTGGATGAACAGTCAAGACTTTCTGCAGGTGGTGAAGGCTAAAAATAAGAAAATTTAAAACCTGGCTCACACCTGACATGGCCAAACCAGAAGCCTTTATTTCTTAGCTGTTTATAACTTTCTCTTGGACACCAGTAGTGATGAACATGCACTGTAAATTTTTTTTTTTCCACTCCATAGGTACTTCCGTTATTTGTGGGACAATCCAGGACGTGTAGGGAGAGGGGTCTCACAAAAAATCAGTAAAGAGCGGTGTAAATCAGCAGATTGGATTGTTCAAGCTTGTTTCTTTGCCTCTCTGTTCAGGCTGAAAATTAATGTGGCGGCAGAAGTCAGTGACCTGGAGGTTTGTACGCTGTTTAATTTTCCTTGATATTATTATGTAACTTCCTTTTTTTTTAAAGGGGAAGAAAGAAAAAGACTATATATGCATATATTTATATATATATTAAAGAGGGAAAGTCAAAAAGTAAGGCAACAAATGGTTGTTTAAAAAAAAAAACACTAAAGATGATTACAAATTGAAAACCATTTATTTTTACCCTATTTGTATCCTAAACTAAATTATTGCCAATGAGTTTGTCACTTAGATATCAATCATAATATCAAGACTATTGTACAATCTGGCAAAGTTTCATCAAGGACAGCGCAGTATGAACAGTTCCCTTATCATTTAGTATAGTAAAATCACTTAAATATTGTATCACATCTAAATAATTTTTTTTAAATCAGAAAATTACGCAAACTCCACACAGAACATTGCAAACGAAAGGACTTCCTTTTTTTGTAATCCTAATTTATCAAAAACTTGTTCATAAAAGTATGTTTTCCCCATAAGCGGAACAAAATTATTGTGTCTCTATAATACACCAATATACTGGCGACCATCGGATAGGGATAACTTTATAAGCCAGTTAACTGGCGACTCATCTTCAAAGAGTTAACAGCCTATAAGACTGTGAAGATGGTGATAAATTGGGCAAGTCTGAGAAGATGATAAATTGGGCAAATCCCAAGCAGACAATGAATAACCAAATGTGCTGAAATGGGAAACATTGAGAAAATAAGGACATCCAAGAGAAACTCTTAGATGATCATTGGTATGAGAGGCTAAAAGTGCTGAACTGGGCTCTATACATAATATCAAAAAGAATGGACAGGATTGAATGGAATAAGAAAATAGACTGCAAACCCAATGTGATGGAAAGTAAGGACAATCATGTTGAAGTACTTAGGTACAAACAAATATATCAATATAGCAGATATTAAACATCCTCACAGTGTTCACATTGTCAGAGACATGCCATCTACCTTTACTTCCTGGAACATTTCCTGGTGCCCAATTGAGGCTTGATTACCTTAAGAGCTCAGGTCAATTTTTTTTAAACACATGCCCACTTGATCAGCAGGTAACCATTGTTAGCTACTTCTCTATTGAGGCTACGATTCTATCACACTCTGTACCTCTCAAATTCCACATCCATATGCTTCATCAAACGTTACTGAATCATTACAGTGATTATTCAGTGCATTCTAAGAAGTGATTAATCTGTGACTTCACACAGCAGCAGTCACAGATAGATCTGTAGTTTTAATCTACGTTAACGGTAAAGATTGTGGAGGTGCTGATGGAAATTGTAGTGACTGCAATGATGATGATCATGAATTCCTAAAAGAATGGTAGTTGATTTGATTTGTTTTCTCAGTTCTTTTTCTTCGGTTATAATAACTTTTTTTTTTTTTTTTTTTTTAGAATGGTAAACAAAAATGTTCACAGAAAAAGATAATTTATAATTTGTTAGCTTTCATGTGTAAAAATAGTTATTTATCTTAACAATAATAATTGATTGTAGTTTTTTCATTGCAGAATTACTGAAACTTTTCTTTTTGGATATATAATCACTTTGGGCAGAAGAAACTGATGAACAGTTCCCGAAAAGACTGGGATTTACAAACGTTTTCAAGTATGCTCTCTTTGCTGCAAAGAGTAAAAACACTCGAGGCGTTAATAGTAAAGCTATTTGCTCAAGATTTCTCGAGTCATTTGAGAGTTGATACGAAGATTTCCTCAAGATTTGTATGAAGCTATTTTTCCTTTTACACGGATGCTAAGTGGCTTAGGTATTCGTGACAACCTGTCACTCATGCCGAAATTGGATCATTTGATTTTCTGGATTGAATTTTACTTAACTCTCACATGGATGTTCATATCTAAGGCAAGTAAACATATCTCTAAAGGTTAGAAAACATAGAATTGGAATGAAGCATAATTTTCACTCTAAATCTGTGTTATTTACTCAGCAACCGTAAAGTTTGGCTTACATCTGTGTTTCTCTTGGCCAAAAGTTTTGCCTTGATATGCTGTATTTGGGACAGTAAATGGAAATTGAAAAAGATGATGACAAATTAATCACTAAATACAAATATAGTCAAAAATTAACTGCTTTCCTTCCCTTTGACCCAAGTAAGTGTTATTTTGTGGACTTAAGCCACGTGAAGCAAAGTGACGACTAATGAGATTATTATGGGGTAGCGTCAGTGTCACAGTTTATAGAAGAATTTGATTGTTTTCACCCCAAATGATAACTAATTGTTTTGGGGGGAAAGGGTTGGGGGCGGGGAGAGGGGGGGGGGGGGGGACTTAATATTATCATAGCCACCATGTCTAAACACTGCAGTTGCCTAGCTAGTGCCTAAGCTGTTATATGGGTATGATGGCCACTGCCCTAGGACAAATGCTGGAGAAAAACCTTTCTAGGGGTGATAGGTTAAAAAATCTGGGTTAAAAACCTCTTGCCTGAAGTCTTAGATCCAGTTAGTGTTGACTGAGAGTATACATGAAGCTTTCAAACTGTAATTATATAGAAGGAATCAGCCAATCAGCATGTCCTTTACAGAATGTCACTCTTTTCATGACACAGCTTAAAGTCCCTCTTTCTGTAGCTGATTCTCCAGCCCTGCAATCATTCCTAGCCAGTAGATCTTCAGTGCCCTTGTGTGACGTAACGGCCTCATGACCCCTTGGGATTACAAAACTAGTGTGGTGTAACGGGTCGTTGGTTCTCTGGATTTTATGTGGGTTTAAATGCTTTTATGTTGAGTAGGGATTTTCCTCTCAACACATCCTCTCCACCAGATTAACTGAACTAATATCCGGGCTATGTTGCTCTCAGACAAAGTCCTGGATATCTAAGAAAACAGCCATATTGGCTCTTCAATTACTTTAACATTAGCTGCACTTGGTACCCACAAGAGAAGGAAAGGGGTTTTAGATGTCTATATTATTATATTTAATGACTAATGACTTACTAGACAGGGCAGTTGACCCCTTCCGTTGACCTTCCCTTGGTAAAGAATTAGTATTATATTTTAATGAGCTCCACCAAATGCTATTCTATCTTAACCGTGTAATTAAACATGTAAGAACAGACACACTTAGAATTACAAAAAACTGATGCAGGATAAGACTATATATTTGATTTATTAACCTAGCAATCATTTTGGTTATTTATATTTTTAGTAGACAGTAATGGTATGGTGGTAATGAGCTGCTTCAGCTAACTGAGCACCTAAGATTAGAGTGAAGTGATAATGGTGGTGATAAGTTTACGGACATACATAATGGTATGTAACTTATGGTATTTTAGAAAGTGGAACCTCTGAGAGCCCTTGTGTTGAGTCCCTTCTTAACTGTTCCAACTTTTCCTCCCAGTTCTCCTGGTTCCCAGCTGGCTGAGTTCTAACACAATGTAGTCTTGTGCACGTGGTGATCTTTTATTTCTGTTCTCAGAAAGGACTGATCGACACCCACATGGGAGCTGTAATAATGGAAACAAACACATACGTGTAGTATCTTGACTTACACTAAGAATACATGTACCAATTAATACAATATATAATAATAAAATATATCTCATCACTCCTCATATTCCACATTCTCTCCAGTCTAGTCTGAAGGTCTCGTGTCTCACACTGACGTCTAACATATCCTGCCTTCCCTCTCATGTTATGTCATGATAGTTGACTTTCTAAGTCTGTTGTCCGTCATCACTCAGACTTCCAACTGGCTGACACTGATTTGACATAAACATGTGGCGCAGGTTATGTGCTGAACACGCAAAACATTTTATGTGTGCATGTTGTCCTGAATATTATCTTTCAGTGACAGTGAATTCTGTACACTCATGATTCTTCCCCTGGGGTTATAAATCCCCTGTTTAGGTGAACACATTTAGTGAGCACATGGTGGGCACACACAAAAAAGTAACCGTTTGGCTGCACATGTGGGCATCATTTCCCCCAGTCTAGGCTCATGTTTTGGTTGATGGTTGAAACCTTATAATTTCATTACATTTCAGTATACAAGTCTTTTTTTATAAACATGAAAACATACACTGAAAAACATGTGGCACAAACATACAAGAAATAGGAATGGTTTAGCAGTTCCCTAACTGAGATAACTGAATACTCACAAAGAACTATTTCAAGCAGAATGTGTAGAAAAATTAGGAAAAGGTAGAATAGTCTTAGCTAACTCCCTAACCTATGTATAAAAGATTAAAAATAATTATACAAGCATACCTGGGAACATTCCAGCAATCGCCAAACCGGAATCAAACAGTTAGAATTACCTCTACTGTCGATCTGAGTTTATTGCCGGCTGGCAGCAAAATGACGGAAAGTCAAGAAGCTAGTAGTATTAATACATCTATCTGTCCGCAAGGTTAAACTCATCCTTTTTCTAGGTTCTACCCAACCCTACAGGAGATGATCTAAGCCACGCCCCTGAGGTACCTTGCAGATCAACATAGCTATCAATGGGCCTGTCACTCAAAGTGAACGGCCTTCAGTAAGACCAAACATTCTTAATTGGCAAACATCTGTTCTCCAGCCAATTTAACTGGTAGGTGTAAAAAGCTGTCCAGGGGACGCCGTCAGGTCTGGAGTTGTCTACCAGACCACTTAATTCGCCTGATCTGCTCTGTTCAAAAGGTCCCACTCAGTCTGTGTTATGTAACATTTATGACACTAAGGTTTGGTTCATGGGAGATAATCTCATGTTTGATACTAAGTTAATTTCCAGTTGCTCGCCCCTACAGACTGTGGTCAGGAGATAATTATATGGCTTGTAAAACGAATCTCTAGCTAAGGTAATGTTAGGTAATATTACACAAAGCTGGGTTGCTTTGTCTGGCGAGAGAAGGGAAATATAATAAGTATAATTCTTTGCCCTTCTATGAACATCAGAAATTATTAAACATAATTTAACTTCTGAGACCACTGAGGTCATTTCGTCACACCTTGTCAACCTTAACGAAGGTTAGCCTCTGTCTCAGTTTCCAAAATCTAGGTCCTCCATCACCGCTCTCTCCAGATCACCATGGTGTTTGACATAGCCAAAATACCTCACCTTTTTGGACAAGATGCTGTTTATGTGCTATTTTTCCTTGATGTTCAGTCAGTTTTCTTCTCCTTGGTACACAGTATTCTGTGAATTTTTCTGTGGCATTTCAGTTCAAAAGCTCTGATTTTGTTCTTCAGATACTGACTTAGCGTCTATGACTCACTCACATCCTAAAGTTGCCACATGAAAGATGCATGACCTCAACATTGTCACTTTCACTTGCTTGCAGGGGCTGTGCCATAGGTTCTTCATAGAAGGAATTTAATGACAGGAAACAAATAAAAAATTGTTTGGATTAGAGAAAATATTACTGAATGAGACTTAAATCAGATAAGAAAGGTTCTTTTAGTCATATAAAAAGTCATAGCTCCTTGGTAAAGGATACGATGGAGAGAAAAATGGAGGAAAGTGTGCATGAGCAATACAACATTACATTTTGGTGACAAATCAAGAAATTGACTAGGAGAAGCCTCAAGGAGTGCACCATGATGATGAAGGGCACAGTACAAGAGACTGGTAGAGACTTATGGCAGCAAATCTTCAGCAAAGAATAGGTTAATATTAACTATTATTATGATGATTTCCTTCACAAATAAACTTGTAAGAGTAGTGAATATGTATAATTCTGTTGCCTTCAAACAGGTAAATCACTCGTCTGGCAAAAGAGTTTGCTTCTACCTGATCAGCTCATATCTTTCCAACATGCATCTTTTAAGTGAGTGTATAGAAAACTCTGAGGGGCATCCTAAAACTGTGCAAGAACTTCTGACATTGCATTCAGTACAGCGGAAACAGAAAAGACAAATTTTGGACAGGATGGATTTTATTGCCAATTTTATTGTTGGACATAATAGATACAGGTACTTGTTATGACACTACTTTTTAACTATTTTTTAGTGTTACTTTTTAAAGAAACTAAGATGTAATTAGGCATATATTCACGTGTGTCCCATAAACAATTTCACATGCTTTATTAATGCAGAATTCTAGTATTTATCAGCTTTTTTTTCCATCTCAATAATTATTTTCAACCATTTATTAAGATATAATGAATTGTAGATCACTTTAGAAATGTTGGGGTGTTCTTACTAACCATCGAAACAGTTAAACTGAAGAAGAAAAAAAGTTGTTAATATTTTGTTTCTGTTACCAGCTGACTAGGCAGTTTTAACATATTGCAGACTGATGTAATTTACCAGATTTTAATTTTCCTTTCTTTGCTTTTCTCTCGTGTCTGTCTGTATGTATGTATGTATGCCTTCTTGTATTTATGTATGTGCGCATGTACACGAGCACACATACACACACACATGTATGCCCGCGTGCGCGCGCACACACACACACACACACCTACCCACATTCACGCATGCACACACCCGCGCGCGCACACACACACACACACACTTACTTTGCTGCAGTCATCAACTGATCATATCTTTTTCTAGACCTCTGGTATTTTAAATGAATATTTCTGTAAAAAAAACTGAAGACCAGTGAAAACTTGAATAAACATCATCATACATTGGAAGCTGAAATACTTTGACTGAATGAATGTTTGTTTAATCGAAACCTATTAGTAGGCATCACTCACATAGTTCCAGTTGGTCTGTTAAAATACCAGTTTAGAACTATATGGCTAGTTTGCTCCTGACCTGAAAATGTTTGTTTATTTTTATTAGCAGGTAGTAAAACCATCTGGAAAATAATCTTTTGTCAGTGTTAGATGTTTGTTGTTTTCTTATCATTTTTGTTTTATGCTTTTCATTTATTGCAGCTAATGACATCAAAATATTATTATGAAAACACATATACTTGAAAGGCCTTACACAGTAAAGACTATTTAAATGATTGGATAATCTAATAATTGCTTTACCTACGGCTCATTTTTGCAGGCATCTCATTTCACAAGTAAATCTGAGTGCAAATAATTTTGGACATTTGTAGATTTGTCTGCAATTTTATAAGCCAAGACAAAATTGATAACTGGTGTCATCGATATGATAAGATAACCATGGAGTAACTACGTACAATTAATTTTTCTAACCTGGCACTCGATGCAGAATCTACAATATTTGGAATACTACTGAGATTCATTAAAGCAAACAAAAAATTAATTTGTATGCATTTGTCTTTTTTATTTTAGTTAATATGTCTATTACATCAGTTTTCACCTGCAGCAAGCTGTGTTTAGTTTTTGCTTCCAACTTTCTTTAATATTTAAGTGTGTGTTTCATTTTCCATCGTGTGAAAAGTATACTGTTATCTGCCTTAATCCGTAGTATTCTGTAGTATCTTTAAAGTCAAACCTGTATATTCATTGTTGATTTTTTCTTTCGCAGGCTCTACACCCCCCCGAATAATTTATGACTGCAGTAGTATGTTTTACTTATTCGTGTGTATATTAAATAATAACAAATACTTTTTTTTTCAGCAAATTTAGTTTGATAGATCAAGTCAACCAACTGTGTCTGGGGGAACAGCCTAATTTCTTGCTGGCCGAACGAATCGTGGTTCTCTCAGCCTTAGTTTTACTCAACATACCTGGCCAATATGTTTATGACCACCAGGAGGTGCCAGTTAGGAGGGAATTGTTCAAGGTATGATCATTTGTGTTTAATTTTCATCAAGAATCCTGACTAGAGGAGTAACATGTTTAAAAACTTTATATCAGTCACTAACTGAGTATGAGTAACCAGGCATCAGCACTTAGAAGGTGAATTGTTTTCTGTGTTTTCTTCCTACTTCAGTACTTCTTTGTTAAGTTCTTTTATTTTGAAAATATTATTTAAATAACACTCTACAATATTGCCCTCAGAGGACTAAATCTAGACATTTCCAGTTGTGACACAACTCCCACGTAAATGCCAGTGTTTCATTACATCTGCAGTGACCTGTTCTCAGAAAGTGTAGATATACATTATTGGTTCTGTGTGCTCCTGCATTCTGTTTAGGAGGCCCGGATTTAAATATATTAACTAAATATAGCATTTAGAGGGGTTGTCTTGGGAATTGAGTAGTTTTTTTAATGCCGGGTTGAAGTAAAATTGTCTTGTACGCCTCAGTGAGTTACCTGATACAAATTTGTTTTAGTTCCCAGAGAATGCGTTGCAATAAATGCTTTTCTCTGTTCTTGTTTAGTGATTATTCCTTTTTTGTATCTTTATATACTTTAAAACAAATTTTTAAGATGTAGATACATTTGTGAACAGCTTATTAGATAACTGTGTAAAATAGTGTTTTGTTACTAAGTAATATTTTTTAAAGAATTTTTCCAGAAATTCTTGGGTTCATGATTTATATCTTTTTTAGCATTTGCTAAACTTTAAATGTAATATGAAACTAGTCATCATCATCAGATCATCAATTTCCACTTCTGCCATTAACCCACTGACTACCAGCGTCCCACGTTATGCGACGAGGCGACATTTATGTTTTGTCGCCAAGGTCGCACCCCTTGCGATTGAAGCTTTGGACGCCCGCCGTCATGTTGAAATTGCGATTTTTATGACGATTTTAGTTGAAGCCTTTGGCTTATTCACTTCTGTGTGATTAATTAAGGGAAATAACTAAGTAGTGCTTAAAATAAATATTTGACGAATTTCCTCAGTTAGCTCCCATGTCGGTGAGACATTGACGCGATTTTCATCATTGCGTCAAATTCTCAGAACCATCCTGGTGGTCATATTTCTCCTAATGTTTCTGATGATGCATGTGATTTTCCTGATTTTGCTTCAAAAAGGGAATTTGAAGACACTACTCAACAGTTTGATGGCTATGACTATGATAAATAAAAAGGATTTCTTAGTTGCCTTTTCTGCAACAATCTGCAGCCAGATGATGATGATTTCAGACAAAGTAAACCCCATTTTTCCCTTTCAAATGTGTTCATGGTTCTATTTTGTGCAAAAGTACCAAATAAAATAAATATCTGTTGAATATTTCTGAAAATATGATTTTTTTTATTAGTCTATACTGTTGTCAGATAAAAGATTTTCAGTTGTCTTTTTTTTTTTTTTTGCAACAATCTACAACCACATGATGATGATATTTCAGACAAAGTAAACCCTTTTTTTTTTCTTCAAATGTGTTCTCAGTTCAATTTTGTGCAAAAATACAAAATATGGTAACTGTTGTTGACAATTTTTTTTAAGATATGACATTTTTATTAGTCTATATTGTTGTCAGATAAAAGATTTTTCAGTTGCCTTTTTTGCACCTATCTACAGCCACATGATGATGACGCAAAACAGAATAAACAGCTTTTTTGCTCTTGAAATTTGTTCTTCATTCAATTTGGTGCAAAAATACAAAATATTGTGAGATTATATCAAATAGTTGTGAAGCTGTGGCATTTTTAGTACATACAGTAAAATATGTGGTATCTAGGAGAATGCAAGGGTTAATGGGCTTGGTAGTCAGTGGGTTAAGCGTTGTGGGGAGGAACAGTTCTGCAATCCATTGCTTGATGGGCAGCAATGGCTATTGTCATTCTGTAATGATGTAGAATCTTTTTTATGTCATCAGTCCATATTCTCCTAGGGCAGCCTCTTGGTTTCACGTCAGATCTGTGAAGCACCTGCATTGGTAGTTGTTCTGGCTGCATTCTTACTAGATGACCAAACCATTTGTTCTTTTAATTTTCAGTGAATTTGCTGCATAGTGTTGTTCCAACAGTCTGCCTATCATTTCTAACATTGTCTCGGATGGTCAAGTTGGTGTCATTTCCACAGGTGTTAATTTTACGTAGGTTAGCCTTTGATAAGGTACAAGTCTGGCACTTGTAGCACAGTGCTGGTATGAAGATGCTGTTTATAATCTGTTTCTTTGCACTCATACTTATGTTTATCTGTCTTAATAACAGTGTCACTTGTTATATAAGTGCACTGGCACATTAGCATCTTGTTTTTTTTTTTTTCCCAGATCTATTCTAGTATGAAACTAGTATGAAAAAAATATTTACTTTTTTTCACTTTTTACTTTATCTTTTTTGGTTTTCTAGCTCCATGTAACTAAAGTGATGCCTGCAAGATTAGCCTTGCTTATCTCTGGTCTCAAGAAGGCATCAGGCTATCATGATGTTGCAGCTGTACTGTTAGAGTTTTTCCACAAACAAGGAAGTGACAGATTGATAACTGGGCAGTGTTTGCAACAGCAGAACTACTCTGTGCAGTTTCATGAAGCCAAGTTCTCTGACTGCCCCAGCTTGATATTTGTGGACATGAACATTGAGGAGGAAGCACTGAAAATTCTCAAGGTAAAACACAGACACAAATCTATGTTTACTAATGCATAACATGTTTACTAATGCATAACATGTTTACTAATGCATAACATGCTTACTAATGCATAACATGCTTTGCAGTCAACTATTGCAGGTTATGATTTTTCTAAAAATTGTAAGTACTAAACCAGACAATCACACTCATTTACACATATTCCCATACAATTTTGAAATAATGTTTATTCAGTAGGTCATACAAACACAAATTCTATTTTAAGCACACCAACTTACACTTGTCCACTAAAAACTAAAAACATTCTCTGATTGTCTGTTAAAAATAAACCATTTGCCATAGAGATTCTGTTCATTGCTTGCATCATTCAGTAGGCTTTTAACTCACTACTCATCTATCTGCATCACATTTTTTAGTGCTTATCAACAATGTTTCACGAATAAACAAACATGGAGACTGTTATTGCCTTTCCTACCAGACGTCAAATTCATGGTGTGTTTGTTTTCTTCAAGCAGAAAGTCAAAATGCTGCAAAATTCATTGTTAATTGTGTCATGTTTGACTAAAACAGTGTTCATGTTTAGTTCATGATTTGTGAACAAATGCGACTGTAGGTTGATATCAAGTGAGCTAAGAGATTACTGAATGAAGCAAATAATGAACAGGGTTGCTATGCAAACAGTTTATTTTTACCAGCCAATTGGAGGTTGATTTTGAAATAGTCCACATAATAACTAATTGCTAACAGTATGGAGCATGAGGAACCAGTCGGATTTGTGTCTTTTCATATGTAAAGAAGGACCCGCTGCATTGTGACAGTAAGGTAAAGTGAAGGCCCCTTTTCCACACCTTTTGTCGTATTGGGTATATAGGGCTAGACCTATATTTTTAATGACTAATCGGCACTCGGTGGTTGATGTGGCCGCCTTTACTTCCCAGGTCTGCACCTGGTACCCACTCAAAGCTGGGAGTCAAGGTCATTTTTAAAAAAAAAATCAGGCTCCATCAGGACACAAACCCATGACCTTCTGATAGTCGCCACGGCGACTCCCTCATTGCCACATTAGGGCTGCTAAATTCTCTTGCCAAACATTTTTCAGCAAACGTAACATTCCTCTGATTCATCAGTGAACTAAATTTCCCTGGCTCTTTTTGATTTCTTTGAGCTACTGCCTAAGCTGAGCATGGCCATGAAAAAGGCAGGATGCCATGTGTATGTTTGCATGCTTGCTTAAACCAGAATTGGCTGAATTAATGAATATATAACAGTGGACATTATAATGTAAATGATCGTATATGTTTGTAATTAAACAAAGCAAATTAAGAAAGAAGAATGTTGGAAAATTGTATTTACATAATTACAGTAAAATGAATTGACATTTCTGGACTTCAGTTTTAATCTCAGATGGATGAACTGTCTTTAACACAGGATAGTCATGAGGATCAGGGAATAAATGAAGAACTGGACGAAAAGGATATTGAAAGACAAGAGGCAAAAAGGAAGAGTGCAGATGAAGAAAATGCAAGAAAGTTTGCAATGAAGGTAATCTATTGATTTAGCTTTTTTTTTTTTTTTTTTAACTTTTTGTATGGTTATATTGTAGTGACAATTAGATTTTATTATATTTGTGCTAGAGTAACTTGGCCATCTTTGGCTGTGTTGTTTTTGTGCCATGAGAGTATAATAAACCCTGGTTTGACCAACATTCAGCATAGTGTTTACAATGAAATAATTGATTTCACTACATTGGGTTTTATTATCCCATTTGTCTCATTCTCTCAAAGCAGAACATTTGGTCACCTGCTGAGAGCATTGCATGAATTCTGTCAGTGAGGGTCAGACGGGATCTTGAAAACACCTTAAACCGAGCCTGCAACCTTCAGAGTGCAAATCATATAGCTTAGTTACATTATCACAGAGACCCCCATGGAAGCATATCAACATAGCAGCCTGTTCCATCCCAAGGGTCAGCATTTTCATTTATGATTACCTGTATTATTTTATTGCTGAACTTGTAGACCTCCTTTAAGAGATAGAGACTTGTATTACATGAGACAATTGTTGAAAAATATATATAAAAGCAACAGTTATATTTTTAAAAGCTCTGAAAGCTGTCCATTTAGATAAGTCAATCCTCACCCTCCTGTTCTGTTGTTTGATTGGGTGATACATAACCACTGTTTCAGCAGACTGAAGTAACCTACAATTATTCTGTGTATAAAGAATTCTGAATGCCACATGGCTATCAGCCATGCTCATCCAGATTTGTTTTTAAACTAATTATTTACCCTCGATTTTGATTTTTTTTTTCTATTCTTGTTGTAGCCATAATGCTTCAGCATTTTGACTATATTTGCAGTAAAACTGTTTGTGTAAAATATTCAGTGATCAAATGTATATAGCTAAAGAAGCAATTATGAAAGCATCCATAAAATAAAACCTTGTTTTTGGAGAGTAACCAATTGCCACTTATATCTGACACCTAAAGACAGTGCAACTTTGTTTCATCAATCAGTCAATAAGGTGCTGTCTCCACAATGAAGACTGGCTGTAATAGATCACCAACACTTCATGTCTTTGCCCTCGATGTACACTCTCTCAGACTGCTTTCAGTCCATCTTTTAATGTGTTCATCCCACTTTTGTTGCTCTGTGCTCTCACTTTCCTTCAACTTTTCCCACCAGTCAGCTTTTTAGTAGAGTGTTGATGGTTGCTGATGTTGATGTTGTTTTGAGTCATCTTTCTACAGATTCACCTGTTTACACTAACGTTTATCAGTTAAATTTTATAATTTATTATGCCTGTATTACTTTCCCCAGATAATTGTACAGTTTTTGAAAGGTGTTGTTATGCAAAGCAGACTTCAGAAAAAAACTTTTTTGACATTTGAAATGGATGAGATGTTTAGACCATATGCTGTCACGGATTCATCATGTGGAATTTGTGGAGTTGCCCTGGAGCGCAGTGAGTCAACAGTTTCTGAAGGTAATGAGAAATGTTGATTAAATCAGTAACTATTTCTTGTATCATCATAAAGTAAACAGAAGCAGCAGGTATTAGGGGAATGTAATTATTTTCAGGGGGTGCCCTTGTCTATACAGACAGTTGAGAGGAAAGGACTTAATAGTCATCACACTGATAAATGCATGCACACGGTAGTATATCTGACCAAAGGCTGCCTGTGTGTATTCATGACAGTGGTGAGTGGAACAGAGAATGTTGTGCATCCTTTTATCTTCTTCTTCTTTGTTGTCTCTTTACTACCAGGTTGTAGCCAAGTGTCATGGTTTGTCTCTCCAGTCTAATCTCATCTACATGTGATTATTTTTGTGATTGGCTATGGTTTGGAACTGTTCACAGCCATCTGTAGAAGCTGGAACATCTGCAGAATGACAATATTTCAGTTATTTTTAACTGTACACACGATATACCAGTCTTATGTCCATAGTATATGTGTATGTGCTTGCCTTGCCATCCATATATGAATGACAGAATGCTGCAGGCAAAGATGTACCCTTCCTTGTGGCTTCAGACAAGAAAATTTACACATTTTAAAGAGAGGCAGCTCTTAGAATGCACAGGCAGAAGATACTATAGACACATTTGTAAAATTGACAAAATAGTGTGTCATGTGAAGTGAGCCAAGTTGTCATCCAGTGATGCAGTGACATATTCTTTAGACATAAAGTGTCACGATTGCATAGCAGGTAATATGGAGGCATCCATGCAATAGCTGATAATTAATAACCCACCTTCAGGTGATTTAATTAATTACACATACTGACAGCTTTGTGGGGAGGGGTAAAAAGAGGGTGTTGGAAAGAACAATAAACGTGTGTCAGTATGTCATGCCACACTTAGTTTAAAGACCAGGCATGCCACACATGGTCTAGATGCAAAGTTAATATAGTAATAAGAATATAAAAAGGTGGCTTAGTGACTGCATTCAGGTTCTATACCTATTTTTTCACACTTGCATTGTTTATGTGTATAAAACAACAGATAACAATTTCTTTGTCACTAAAAGGATTTTTTTAACGCATTATGTTGTAGGTTTTATCTAGGCTGTGATATCTGCATTTTTTGTCCCAACACATTTGACTTCAGCAACCCTTAATTAGTCACCTTTTACAACATGTTTGTTACGGTGCAGTAGGTCTCATTTTTTTTTTTTGGTCCTAGTTGATCTCTGTGGAGGAGAAGTCAGACAGTTCCTTCATGCTCTGAAGGTTGTATGTTTGGTTTCAGATTTTGTCTTTTAGTTCACAAGTGCAGATGTTTGGTGACTGTACCTTGTGTGACACTCGATGTATGAATAGTCAATCAATGGAGAGAGCCCAGGCCAAATGGGATAATCCTGGTGTATTGAAGTTTATTCATCTCGCACAAGAAATTGAAGATGCTTTCCAGAAAAAAATACGAACAGCTAGCTACTTTTTTCAACCTGGCCAAAGCCTTTGACAAGGTGTGGAAGAAAGAATGCTTGCTAAAACTAGATAAAAGGGGATAAAAAGGGCATATGTTTGCCTGGATTAGAGACTTTCTTTACAGATACTGGGCAAGAGTCAGACTGGAAGAACACAAGAGCAAGCTGGTCAGATTACAAGAAATCATCCCCCAAGGAGCTGTTATATCTCCTACCCTGTTTATTCTCATCATCAGTGACCTCCCTAAACAGTTCACGACTCACATTCATAAGGCTGTACATGCAGATGACCTGGCTATGTGGACCCTAGCTGAAAATATAGGAACAACTAAAACAAGAATGGAGGAAGCTATAAATACAGTTAAGAAATGGGCAGACCCTTGGGGAGTCACAGAAAACCAGACCAAAACATCTCGACTCTCGTCTCTCTTTTCCACAAAGCTAGAACAAGTTGATTTTTACCAAGAAGGCAACATCTTTCCAAAAGTGGACAACTCCACATATTTGGATTAAACCTGGGGCCCCCACATTGAAGACACCCAAAGGAAAGCTACCCTGCGGCTCAGGCTTATGAAGAAAGTAACTGGAAAAATTTGGGGTGCAGATGCCAACACAGTATGGCAAGTATACACAGGATACATACGACCAAGGCTGGAGTATGGCATGAGAGCATACTTCACTGCAGGCAAATCAAATTTATACAAACTAGAAAAGATAAAGAACACTGGTCTCAGAATCATCACTGGAGAAGCCCACCAATCAGTGAGCTGGAGGCAGCTTCTAGGAAAAAAAGGTGCTTACCCTAACTGAAAGATTTTAATGCAAGAAAAACAACCCCATGCACAGAATAGCAAACAATTTAGCCAAAAACTGACTGAAAAGACAAAGCTTTCTCCATCTATCAAAATTGTTTTGCGCAAAAAAACAGTGATCTTGTTTCTAAAGACCCTTCATCCTGGCAATGATCCGAGAATACAACATAAGCCTGCAGCCTAACAACACAGTCACAACAACAATCCCAGGCATAGACAGAAAAGCTGAAGAATGTGACCTAGTACTACATGCAAAGACCCTTAAACATGTCCACAACTCTTACCCAAACTTGGACACACATAAACACCAATGAATCCTTGGAGAGAGCAGAAAAAAAATGGAGGAGCTGGTGTGGTCAGCATGCTGCAAAATGGGACTACAGTAGAAACGTCATGTGCTTCTGGAAAACTCTCCATGAACTCCGAGCAGCAATCAGTTATTGATGCAGCCAAAGTGTTTGAGGAAAGAACAATTAAAAATGAAAAAGTTGTTTACCTGTGTGACTGCATGTCCGTCCTCCAGGCGACCCAAGGGGATCCACAAGACAACATAGAGAGAGAACTGACAACCCGCCAGATAAACAGACTGTCAGAAAACAATCAAATTGTTCTTCAGTGGATGCCAGCTCAGTGCAGCATACCAGGAAATAAGTAAGCACACAGTCTTGCAAAAAATGGAACAAAGGAGAAACAGCATACCCATTCATTGTCATTACCAGAAATCAAAACACTTATCAAGGGAAAATACAAGAAATTGTCGAGAAAACAAACCAACAGTAAACACCCACAATACCCCATTAGCAGACTCAATAGAAAACAACATACAACAGTTTTCCGTCTACAGACAGGACACTACAGGCTCAACTACCACATGCATGAAAAAAAGAGTCCCCAAGATGTGCCTGTCTGACAGGACCACAAACACCTGAGCTCATTCTGCAGGCCAGCCTACTTTACCTACAACTTCGAAGAGCAAAGTGTGCAGAGCAAGCTGGACCTGCAGCTGACATGCGGGTTCCTAGAGGGAACCCACCTGCTGGTCTGACCTGAGCATACGAAACAGAACGCAAAGAAGAAGTTTTTCCTCTACTCTTTAAAACCCCTTTAGACAATTAAACAGATATTATTTTAGTTTTGATTGCAGTTACACTCAGTAAATATTGCAGTAAATAAAGTGACTTTTTTTTTGCACTCATTAATCAGAGAGCCATTTAATTCTGAAGTATAACCAAAGAGCTACCGCAGAGATATATACAACTAGTATACCACAAACATTCTGTAAAGGACTTTGCTGATTGATGATGATACCACATACTAGCAATTGATATAATATTCCACAATGTAAATGAGATATAGAGTATATATGATTTTGTATCGAGGGCAATGTTCAAAATAGCTCTCATATTATGCATTTTGTTGTTCAAATGATTTGTTTCTGATTTGTATCTAGGTGATGAAAGTAGAAGCCAACTGACAAAGAAGAAGCATTGTCGTACCTCTGACCACAAGAATAATCTTCAGAACTTTCAGACATTTAAAACTGTGTATGCATCAAAGGTAATATCTTCTGACTTCTGCATCCACTGCTGCCTTTACTAAAGCATTATCGTGTAAAAAAACCTTTTAGGGAACACTTTATCAGACTTGACTGCTTCTCTCCTACATTTACATTTAGATGCCTACTTTTGTTCTGAACATAAAGAATGCAGATATTTACTACGCCAGAGGTTGTATATACTACAGAAGTGGTGAAAATGTGTTATCAGGTCCAGATGTAAATATCAACAATATAGACAAGAAAAGTTTTAACAACACCCTGTAAAGAGTGCGTAACTCTTTGAAGCCCAAACAGTTCTGTGTGAATTGATTAAGAAGATTTACCCAAACAACACTGTCAGCATCGATCGAGTATCCCATACATATTTATTTGTTTTTGACTCTGTATTCGTTTCTTATGGACAGAACCACCATTAAAGTATTCAGGGAAGGTTACTCTAACCCTGCTCTAACCTTGCTCTAACCTTGCTGAAAAGAGAGGAAAATGAGATGCTTTTGTTTGGAAGAATAGCCCATTTTCTATAAAACTTCTGGAATCTGAATTGTATTTTTGTTCTCTTTTACCTACTTGGACTTGGTGGAGGTTTTTAGAAAAATCAGTGGGAAGAACTCTGCTTCTGCCTTATCCTCGTGATGTTTCAGAAATATGACATTGTCTGGTAATTCCTGACAGTGCTGTTATAGCATGTTTGGGCTTTATTATGTGGAATTTCTCTGCACATTTGTTGACATCTATCCATTTGGCAAACATTCGCATGATTAATGAGAGAGGTAAACAAGTGTAGTGTATGGTGTCATGACTAATCTTGACTCATACAAGATCTAGCTTGCGAGTCATATTTCAAATCAAGCAACATTTTTCACATCTAAACAGGGTGTGTTCCAAGAAGTAGGACGTATACTATAGCTGACATGTACTGAGGTACCATGGTGTGTGTGTGGGTATATATGTATGTATGTATAAGTGTGTGTGTGTGTGTGCATAAAAAGTCCCAATTTATACATGTTCTGGTCTATATATTTTAATGATAATGCAGGCATATATATGATGTCAACATAAGTTATAATGAGGCCATGTGGTTTACAACAAGTATGAAATAAATTTAGTAACAAGTGATCATGAAATATTCTACAATAAAAATAAGGATTAATGAAAAATCCATACAACTCAAACACAATTATCAATCAGAGTAGAACTACATGAGAAATGCATTTTTGCCAGACATCATTCATGTTAACATTTAACCCTCTTAGCACGGACGGGCCGATTATCGGCCGGCGGATGTCTGGCCAAAAACACGGAACGGCCGATCATCGGCCCGATCGTGTTTCGCCTCAAACCGCTAAGAAATCTCCTATTTTGAAACACTGAAAGTGATTCATTTATATTAACTGCTGTATCAGCTTTACACATGGCGACTTTCGAGTGTTTGGTATCGAAGTGAAAATTGTTGTTGAATTTTTTAGATAGTGACCTGAACCGCTAAAAGTATGTCTGACTTGTATGTTTCTGCCCCTAAACTTGATGTTGATAAAACATTTGAATCAAGTGATGACACTAATTCTGTTGATACTGATGCAGGATTTAGTGTTAGCAGTAATAGTGGGAATCAGATGGGGTCGTTGTTGTGTTCAGACCACAGCCCAACCATGGCTCAGGGTATATCCACCCGAAGGTGTTGACACTCCGGCACATCCATTTCTTGTGCTGACTGATGGTGAAAAACACATGTCACCTAAAGATATTATTGCTGTTTCATATATATATATATACCTGTTTTTGACTATTGAATTGCTTACAACATTTGCAAAAAGGCCAAAGATCAATAAAAAGATTTCAAATTAAAAAAATTTTTGTTTTTAGTTTTATGTTTCAAGCATTGAAGTTGAAAATTCAAATTCATATTTTCTATTTTTAAATATGCAAATGAGATAATTTGCATATACATCAATTAATTTTAACGATATTGTGAAAATCATGAACTTCAATCTATATCCTTCAAATAGATATATTATTTCATGGGGGTCAGAATAACAGAAATCTGTCAAAAAAATTAAATAAAGTAATAACCAAATTTACTGAAAAAATGCTCAGTGTTTTTGGCTAGACCTCTCAAAAACTTCCCGTGCTAAAAGGGTTAAAATCTGCACAGAAAAATAACTATTCGCTGAGAAGTTCATCAAGATTTCCAATACAGTTTTCAGTACAAATGTAGATAAAGTGGACTATAATTATTTAAATTAAGACTGTGTAGAATGGAACATGAAAAAGCAAAAGTGAAATATTTCTACATACTTTTGTCTTTTGATTCAGTGTGCATCTTTCTTGAGATAAGAGTTTATTATGTAATTTTTGTGGTCTGCAAATGACTTCCAGATTAAAGCATGTTAAACTTTGATCACCCTCATTTATTACATCTTTTTTAGGTCCATCATCAACGTGAGGAGATTCTACGGTTTTTGAGTGTACACAAGGTAGTCAATAACTCACCAGTCTATAAAGATGAGTTGTGTACAGTGAAGATCCTGGACGCTGTACAAAAGTTTGGCAGCTCCCTGGAAAATATTCTGCATTCCAGAAATTGGCTCAGTAGTCAAGAAATGCTCGAAGCATTCAACACTTTGACCAAATGTTATAGAGACAACTGTGACCACATAAAGAAAGCATATGTGGAGTACCAGGTAAATTTGACATATTCTTTACTGCTTGCAAGTATTGACACTGGTCTGTGTGAAGTGTCAAGGTTTAGAAAATTGAAACTCTTTTTTATTGTTATTATTCATTACTAGGGCTGTACCGAATATTCGCTTCGGGCCGAATAGTGGACCTAATAGCTATTCGGTATTCGGCCGAATAATGGCGGTCGGGCCGAATACGAATAGTGATTTCTGCATACACTGCGATGGACTGAAATAACTCTCTCATTAATAATGTCACAATTTATAGCGGACTTTTCTTGATTTTCGCCGCGGCACCCCTGGCATACGCACCCAGTTTTATAACCTCTGCTGTAATACCTTGAAGGAGTCAGCAGGCGCTGTTACCACGCAACCGGGTCGCAGTTTTCCCCGCTACGACAGATTTAGGCAACGCTACTGTTGTGTTAAAGAAGGCATGAAGAAACTTGAAAGTTAAAATTTAAATTGTCTTTCCTCACCACTGTCGAAAAAGTTTGTTTTTTCCCCTCGTTTTAACACTCAAAGTGTTTCATACTGCATAAAATGCCAACCGCAGCTTGCTAAAAATTGTCATTGTATTTATCCCGACATGCGACCAATCCTCCATCTGTATTCGTGAAGGTGCAGCAGATAAGTAAGGTTGTGATTACATTTTTGCTCAAATTTTGAAGTGGAAAATGTGGTCTGAACAATATTAACTGTTAGCCTCCTCAAGTAAGCACATATCTTTAAGGGCAATGCGTTCTGTTTTGTTGCTTTTGTGTGTGTGTATCTGTGTGTGTGTGTGTGAGAGAGAGAGAGAGAGAGAGCATGCATTTTTTCGTTCTTTCGGGGTGTCTTTGCCCAAATCAAATTGAAGATATTGCGAACGAGAATATGAAGGTGCATGTAAATTACATCGAACGAACGCCTGAACGAACGATGATTTAAATGCGAATTTGCTGCATTTTATTTATTTTAAAAAAATAACATCTTATGCAATATATCTTTGTCTTGCTTGCTACAAACATCCAGTTTTAACATATGGCTATGAGTCCTGGACAATTGATAGCCAGGCCAAACAATTTTTTGAGACCTTAGAGATGTGGTTTTACAGAACAATGCTTAAAATACCTTAAACAGCCTAAAAAAAGCAACCACTAGGTTTTGAAAGAGGCGGGAGCCCAAAGACAACTATTCACAGACGTCAGAAGGAGACTCATCATTTTTCGGCCATCTTATAAGAAAAGTGAAAATGGAACATGTGGTGACCACTAGAAAGATTTGTGGAAGGAGAGATAGAAAAAGACAACGAGAGAAGATTCTTGACAGTCTTGTTGCATGTCATGTAGGTGTGTCAGCACACTAACTGATACATGCTGCAGGAGATTGCAGATTGTGGCGAGGCAAAATCGCCAACACCAGTCGGCAAGGCACCTGATGATGATGATACACTATTCTTATTCGTATTCGGCCGAATAGTTGGTCCCACTATTCGTATTCGGCCGAATAGTGAAAATCACTATTCGGTACAGCCCTATTCATTACCATTCATTACTTTTTGACTTTCCTGAAGCAAATAGTATCAGTTGACTTCCTCTTACAGAGTGCTGCATGTGTTCTGGTTTGTGCCAAGTTCTCTGAAGAATTATAATTCTGATATTCACCTTTTTTCTTCAGTTGAGAACTTTAGACAGATTGCTTATTTTACAGATTTGCATCATTTAAGATGATTATAACAAATAAACATCATTTCACAACCTTTTTGTTAAGATCAAAATGTCCAATTGGTCACAAAACTGCTAAATGCACACAAAATTATATATGTGTATATAAAAATATATATGTGTGTGTGCATGCGCGGGCACAGTACATATACTCCCCCTTCATTAGTGTCTTCCAATTCACAGTCTGAAACTTTTTTTTTTTGTTAGGACAATCATGAGAACATCAGTATTCTAAAAGCACATGTTGTCAATCAAGTTAGGTCGTTGAGTCAAAAATGGACATCACAGCACTCGGGGCATTCCCATGCATGCTCCTTCCTCATCTTCAGCAGCCAGTGCGTAGTTCCAATAATTATGGTACCGGTCACAATCTATTTACGCCTAGGTGCCTCATTCTCTCCAGGCCATAATAATCTTGTTTCTTTACTAATTTCATTGCTTGTTCCCAAAGGGCCTTGACCACATCTGCCTTGTCATGAATCAATTCACCACCCATTGGTGCAGATCCAGCCAGTCTGTCTGCCTGTTCATTACCCACTACGCCTGTATGGCCTGGAGAAAAGATCCAAAGTATGCTCACTATCCGTGACCTTTCCAGTGAAGCTTGCCACTCTGCTCGAAGCATCCCTGTCTGTCACTTTGGCTCTGAACTAAAGAATAGGAAGTGATTCAATCTACTTCATTGTAACCTCTGTTTTTGGTGATTGCCAGACTTGCATCGTCATTGCCACCTCTGCAGCACTGCTGCTTACTGTTTAGTTAGTCGAGGTTGTAACATCACCGCAATCGGGTTTCCCCACACTTGCTCCGTTCTTGTGCCAGTGCCAATCAAATGAAATGTCCCTCACTGTCACATATAAAAAAAAAAACTGGTGAACAAACAACGAGTTTTGGAACAATCCAAAAATATGTGCACGCAGCAAAAGTCTATTTCAGTTGCTAGAGGCGGCAAAGCCAACAATCGCCACCAGGAATGCAGTTTGTCGTTGATGGAAGCAGTCAGGCACGATAGGTTGGCTACTATACACACGTAGAACTCCCACATAAGGTATTTCACCAGCCCACATACAAATCAGCCACCGGCCATATTGAACAAAACCACACAACAGCTGCACAAATGAAAGGCACTCCCTAGGAAAAACACAGCTCACAGGGCTGCAACCAAGCACCAAACCCAGCAGCTCAGGCAGCGAAACCGCATACCACCGTCCTTATATGGAAACTGCATCAGCAAAACGCTGTCGGAAGCAAAAAACAACTTCCAGGCTTAACACTCCGCCAAGCCTTTTCTCCATTTTGGTCAGAAGTTGTCAATCAAATAGTTATTAAAGTACCAGTTTTCAGTAGATTACAATAGCTTTACCAGGTAAAAGATGAGAAGCTCCAGGACTACTGTAGAAAATATGTTATCATTTAGATAATGAACACCATAATTGGTGCCATTGCTAGTGTAATCCAGTGTGTATCCTGAACATTTACGAAGTTCATGAAACTTGATATCAAATCCACTGCACATTGCTGGAATAAACTGCTCTCACCATGGGCAGCAGCAGAGACTTATCAGTGCGTATGTCGTCTCTTTCAAGGGTGTGAACCAACTTTTAGATGTTTTAGAATCTCGTGTATTTTGAAATGTTTTTTTTTTTTTTTCGGCAATGCCGTAGGGGTCACATAAAATATTGTTCAGAAAGTGAAAATATTTCAGCAGAAGATTAAATTTCATCTCATATCTAATTCACAAAATGATGAAGACTCAACATTTATTGAAATGTCCAGAATGCTGTGATGTCAGTTCTTAGTTCAGCACTAAATTCACTATTGACCGAACCACAAACCCTGCCCCCTCCCCCTCCTCCCCTACTGCAGACATTGTACCTTCCACTCAGTTCCCTCAGCTGCCTCTGTCTACCAAGACACCCCCCTCCCACCTTTTCCCCATTCCCTAAGCACAGTTAGTCAGGCAGCCCTGGTAGTCACACTCCTCCATCAGCATTTACATCTGCCGGTGCTGTGGAGTAAGTACTGTAGAGTGGAGTGACAGTACACTAACTGACACCAGGTGTTTACAATATTTATTGATTTTGGACTAAAAAATAGGGGTGGTCTTATGCACAGAAAATACTGTAATTTTGTCTGGGTGTCACCCTCTCACCAGTCACTGTGGAGTTTTCTTAATCCCAGCCTCCTCATCACATTCTTCACTGTGTTTAGTAAAGTGTCGTTAAAGTTGTCATCACTGTCATATACATGATAGATGGCTTCTTTTGGTGCTTTAAGCCATTTCAAAAACAGTTATCAGCTGACCCTAATAGAAAACACTCACTGTAATAGAAAATGTTTTCTATAATAGAAAATGTTCAGTATAATAGGAAAGTGGTCACTGTAATAAAAAAAACGATCAGTGTAGTAGAAAAGGCTCACTGTATAGAAAAGGCTAATAGTATAGGAAAAACTAACTGTAATAGAAGTTGATGCTAATTGTGATAGGAAATGCTCATTATTAGAAAAGGCAAAATGAAATAGGAGGTGCTGATTGTAATAGGAAACGCTCACTATAATAAGAAATGCTCAGTGTAATGAGAAATTCTTGTATAATAGAGAAGCCACTGTGGTTCAGTGGCTAGATGCTTGCTTGTGGGCCAGAAGATTGTGGCTTCAAATATAACTTAATGCTTTTTAACAGTGACCTTGGCTCTCAGGTCGACTCAACCTAAATTGAGTACCAGTCGAAGTCGTGGGAAGCAAAGGCTGCCAGTGTGATGTCAACCGGCCTATAAAATATGTCTAGCACTGTGTTCTCAGTATGCATAAGGTCATGGAAAGAAAGTCCTTTTATTATAATAGTAGGAACTCACTGTCATAAAAAACACTCACTGTAATAGAAAAAAGTTGTGTGCATAGACCAACGGCAGTAGGCTATGTGCTGACCTGGAAAACTCAGTGACTAAAACACACCATAGTTATAAACAAGGGCTTCTGCCATGTGGAGAAGACTCCAGGAACATAACAGTGCAAGTTGCATGTATGTAGCTGATCATACCCATTAGTTACCAACTGGTTAAGTTGCTTACAAATTGTTTTAATATAGGTGTTGATGCAGTTTATTGTATGCAACCACCAGTCCCTGGAGACCAAGGGAGTTGTGCCACTGGTTTTGGGAACAGCGTCTGTTATGTAAAGTCCAATGTGGGAGTGGCAGTCTCTGCCGCATAGTCCACATAAAAATGTTATTGTTGTTCTGAAGCTGGTTCTCTCTCAGACGTCTCCTCTCTATAGCTTGATGCTTTTGGCCTCTTTCAAACAGTCCACCTTTCACTGTCTGCCTCCAAAGGGAGTTGGTCTGCAGCTGAACTCCCCCAAGTGTCTGTGTCAATGGTGATATCTTTCAGGTCACGTTTGCATATGTCCTTATAGCAATGTTTTGGCCTTCCTGCAAGTCTTATCTCTTTTACCAGTTGACTATACAAGAGATCCTTTGGAATGTGTTTGCCTTTCTTTGCTTCAGTAGAAGGTACACTGTTGGCATTCCTGCTGTTTTTAGTACACATTTACTAGGGACAAAATCTTGCCATGATATACCAAGAATGTGTCTCATACAGTACATCTGAAAGGTATTCAATATTTTTTCTTGAGGAGCCTTTAGAATCCATGTTTCACTGTCATAAAAGAGCATGCTCGCCACATCATCATCATGTAGCAGGTCCTTTGCAGAATGTCGCTCTCATCACAGTCTGCCTGTAAGAAACTTATATCCTGTGCCCATCTTCGTGTCGGTCGGCCCCTGCTCCTCCTTCCTGGTACCATGCCTTCTGCTATAATTTTTTCCAATCTGTCGTGACGCTTGATATGACCACACAGGCTTCATAAACTTTAATTTTCATCCTGTCTGTAAGCTGTTTGTTTGACCACATTCTGGGTTTGAGTTTGGAAAGCATTGCAAAAACTTTTCCTATTTGTCTTTTTAGCTCTGCGTCTAGTGAAAGATCGTCTGCAATTTCAGAGCCTAAGTATTCAAACTCTTGCATAACCAATAGCTCATAGTCATAAACACTAATGCTTGGTGGGTCTACCACATTTATCCCCATCGCTTGAGTTTTGTTGAATTTATTGGTGAGTACAAATTCTTTACACAAGCGATTCATGAAATTCTGCAAAGCATTTTTTATTTGTGCAGAAATGGCTGCATCATTCACAAATAGAAAGTCCTTCAGGCATCTTGTCTGCACCTTAGTCCTTGGACAAAGCCTAGACAGATTGAAAAGGTTGCCATCTGACCTTGTTCGGTGATATACCCCTTCATTGGTTGTCCCAAAAGCACTCCAAAAAAATGCAGTGAGGAAGTTGCAGAAAAGTATGGGAGCTTAAATGTAACTTTACGTAACCCTCTGAAAGGATGACATTGACGAACCTTCATATATAATATGGTTCATTTAATATTCTCATAGAAGGATTGAATGAGGCATAGTAGTATGGTTGGTAACAATATTTAACAAGGATCTTGAACAGTCCATCTCTGCTAACATAATCATAAACTTTAGTAAGATCTATGAAGGCAATAAACAGTGACCTCTGTTGCTTTCCCTGCACTTTTCTTGTAGCTGCCTGATAGAGAAGATCATATCTACTGTAGAATCTGGGCTCTAAACCTTACTGTGATTCCAGGTATATATTGACTGCAGTTTATTATAAATGTCCAAACTATTGAAAATACTGTAGTTTTGAACATATGATTTGCCTTTTTATTGACTAAGGCGTACATAATACATAAATATACTATTTGTCTGTTATAGCAAAAAGGAGAAAGAGAACATCATAATCAAGATGCAGCAGTTAAAGAACTCATAGAACAAGACCGGCCCCAAGAACTGGTTGATATAGAGCCCATAAATGCGGGGAAAGAACCATCAGATCCTAGAAGCACTAAGCAGAAAAAGAACACAAACAAGCAAAACCGACGCAAGTGAAATCAACAAGAATATGAATCACAAGCAAACTTTCAAAAACTGTAACTGTCATTAAAGAATGGTGTTAAATTTTCAGAAACAAGAATTCTTTCTGAAATTAGTAAAATGTTTTTTTTAAATAACATGAGTGAGTAGTTTTACAAAGTAGGCATTATTTTTACCATTATTCCTTTATGTATGAATAAATACATATGTGCTTGTACACCCTGGTCAGGGAACTGCTGATAGAGTATGAATTGTTTTAGATGCTGATCTGTAAGGAGAGCAATGCTATGCTAAAGATGTATTAGCCTGTGATGATAAATTGCTTTGTTTTTCAGATAGTCTTTGAGATTTAGTTAACATAACTGTTTAAGCAGTGACAGGATGTCACAACATTGTATGACTTTTGTTTTAAATGCAACATTGATCATATTAAACATTTGATTATGAAAGTTCACATGACCACACTGCTAAAAACTATGACATGCTTTAAATATGATGGTATAGTTAGCTTTAAATTATTTTAACATTACTGTTCATAAACGATACACTTTTCTTAAGATGCTGTTACCTGGTTGAGTACATTTTATGTCACTTAATTTCATTTTCATTCCTATTGAACATCTTTACATAATACTAGCTTGTTTTAATGTAGTTAGTTGATTGTTAATCTGGCTTTGTTGTTTTTGTTTACATTTCCTGATGAAGGCATATTGCAGCAACATTCTTTGTTATTAGTGATCATACTTTGGCTGCCATACCTTATTGTTCATTTTATTTATATTCATTTTAACAAATCATTTGTTAAAACAAATTCTTCAGTCAGCTCTAAAACACACTCAGCATAGTGTACCTGACTAACCAAACATCCCCTTTCTCATTGCAGTAATTATAAACATGTGAAAAAAAAAAAAGATCGGGATTGGGGTTACAAACGAGACACACAAAACCTACACAAATGTGTTGGTAATGTACTGAATTCATAAGTAGCACAACACAAAAATCAGTGCATGATGAAGAAGTCATGGCTGTTTCTTGTAGACAAGTAAAGGAGGTCCGAACCATAACATTAGTTTCATAAAATGAGAGACCTCTCACAACGTATTTACATAATGTATCTTTTACATGGTGAAATCTTTCAGGACAGGGGGTGCATAATATTATATTTCTTAAGTATTTTAGCTAGTTGTATTGTTTACACTGCTAGTAATTCTTTTAATTTAATCATTAAAATAGAACCGAAAAAAAAACATTCTTTTTTCATCATGTCTTTGGCAAAAATTGTTGTTGCAGTGAGAATACTCTACTCATCAAAATGTTTGATTGATGATGCTAACATTTGTAAACACTGACACTGTTTTGTTTTTCTACATGTATTTTGTTTTATGTTTTGTGTGTGTGTGTGTGGAATATTATTTATTAATTAATATGTTTTACTTTCTGAACCTTCTTCTTCTCCTGCCTCTGTTACCCAGTGGAGCATAGGCCCTCAACCAACTCATACTAAGCCTTGTTCTTAGTTGGCTTCTTTACTTTGCTTGGCAAAATACCAGGTTATTATTCCTCACTAATATGGACTCCAGTCAAACAGGGGCCTCAGGCTTTCCCTTATTGAATCTGTAAATTAAAAATATTAATCAGTATATGATTGCATACATCAGAGAATAGAAATGTTCTGGAATATGTAGCAAATTACGTAAACTACTGGAAACAATCTGTCATAAACAAGTAAGCTATTGACTACTGAAGTGGAGATACTAAATGAATCAAATATGTGATGCCAAATGCAATATAATATATTTAAAGACATTAAATAACTGCTATGTAGGTTAGAGCAAACAGAGAGATATTTAAATATAAACACTTTTTTAATCTCTTGAACATTTATTAACAAAGTACAAAGTTCTCTTGCTGCCTCTGACCAAGCTTTCTGTCTAATGATCCTGACGAGTGATTCTGTCTTTTCATATGTGAAGAATTTACTCGCCTTTCTTAGTAGAAAGAACAGGATAGGTATGAGAGCTGTATAATTTAAAGTTCCATACTTTGTTGAGACTTCTAAAATCAGGATTTTTCCTTCGCACTGTGTATCATAATTTATTTCTTTATTTCCTGGGCAATCAGAATTGCTACCATGACAGGTAAACTGGTGTGTTACTTTTCTTTTCTTTATTTCCAACATGACATCTGTTTGGTCTGTTATTGATGTCTTCAATATATTTTGGAGACTTCCAGTGAAAATTGAGGAAACGCTTTGCAGAATGTTAAGCTTCGAAGTTATTTTTGTTTCCGACAGCGCTTTGCTAATGCAGTTTCCACATAAAGACAGTAGTCTACGGTACTCAATACATTTTACTGCTGTACTTAAGCAAGAAATTGTAGCATTAAATGTGTTTTTGGTTGAGAAGACTAATTTATTACCCAAAGATCAGGGGTGAATATACCATTATCTGCTCTCTACTAACTTATACAAATCTCATTGTGTTTTGTCCTCAGTCTTCTTGTGTGAGAGATGAACTTAATTCCAGTCCACTCAACTTGAATCAGATGACTAAATGTTGTTTATAAAAATGAATTATCCATTTGTAAAATAACTTGGTTAGTGTGTGTCTTTTTTTGTTTTTGTTATTTTTTTGTTTTTAAACTACTAGCTTGAGTACCCTTGACAAATTTGTTAATGAGCTGCTGTGTTGAATTTTGAATTTTTGCTTGTACCTCATTCAGTACTATGTCAGTCATGGTGTGTTAATTTTCTCTTCCTTAGATTATATGCTTTGTTAATTTTCTCTTCCTTAGATTATATGCTTTGTTAATTTTCTCTTCCTTAGATTATATGCTTTGCTAGTCTTCTTGTAAACTACTAGACATAAGTTTGCCTAGAAAAACCAACACAGCCAGAAAGTGCTGGGGTTGGTTCTGCAACATCCTGTAAAGGATACGCAACTAAAATAAATGTCTTCTTGTATTTCATTCTGCTGATACAGAACCACACTCATTCTGTCTAGCAGGGTTAGTATTTAAACTTTTTAGGGGTCACTGTTTTTGTTTTGTGGCAGCAATTTTCTTAAGAGGAACGATACAGAGCAGAATTGCCTGGTGCTGAAAGAGTTATGCAGATCCTTAAGTGCCCTGGCTTTATAATACATACAGACAGAAGGAAGAGAAAGAATAATTTACTTTTCCTGTTGCTTTCTTTTCACAAATATTTAACTTAATATAGTTTCACATATTTTTCTTTTCTAAAATATTAGATGTTTTTTTTTTGTTGGTCCGTTAAAAAAGGTGTTTGTTGTGTAATTATTTGCAGCTAACATTTAGTTCATGTCATTGTGACTGAGAAGACCAGAATGTTTCCTGTATTCTTCATCTTATAATTTTATCTCAGATCATGAGCACAACTTTGTGTACCTTGTTTATTTCACAGCCTACAGTATAGGAATTTGTGTAAATGCTTGACCATATCATACACATTTTATGACTTACTTATGTGTCTAATATCAGGTTCAAGCTGGGGATGGCAGAAAAGCCGCATACTGCCTAGATTTATGGTGTATGTGGCACAGGCTGAATGGCTTTGGTGCTAACACGACACTGTGCGCTCATGTGCTTTTGGTCCGGAAGGGGGGGAAGATTGACTTACTTAATTGAAAAAAAAAGTAGTTAAGAAATGACATTTTATAATTAATATAGTGAAATATATATTTAGCTTCATTTATTAATCTTATAAAGACATTTATAAGTGTATCTTCTGGATTATCAATGAAACATGTTAAATTGTTTTATAGCAAATAAATCCATAATAATGTGCCTTTCAACTATCACTTTGTTAATTCCTGCACCAGGAGTATAACTGTGTGTATGCATTCAGAATTATTACTGAACACTCATATTTTACTTGTTTTCTTTCCTAATTATTGTTAACTGTTTCAGTAGCAGAGAGTTTAACATCAGAAGACCAAGGGTGACATTTTGAGATTTCACATTAAAACCATACAGCAACAGTTATTGTGCAGCATGTACATATTATACATCACAGTGACCAAGAAGCATTGAGGCTTAGAACTAGAATACTGCCACAATAGACTTTTGTTTTAGCAGTGAAATAGTAAGCAAACAGATGACATGCTTAGAGAAATTACTATACTGACAAAATGTTTTGTTTTTTTTCCTTTTCGTTTACCTTTATTGGTGTGTAAGGAAACCAGAACAAAATATTTACCAAAACGAAAAACAAATAAAGACTAATCACTAATTATCTGCCTGCTCATTTCCCAACACACCGGCATGACCTGGAGAAAATACCCTTAGGGTGCTAACTACCCAGGATCTCTCAAGTGATGCTTGCCATCTGCACGAAGCATGCCTGTCTCCACCCTTCTCAACATGCTCTGTGAGTCAGTTACAATCACAGCAGATGTGTACAGCTGATTCTCAAGCCAGTGGAAGGCAGCAGCTATTGATTTGTGTTTTATACTGACAAGTGGTTATGCAGTGGTTATATGATGTGCAGAATAGTCTTCTTTTGTGTTAGTTCATAGTAGTACATGTTGCTTTTCTATGTACTGAAAGAGTTGATTTCTTACAGTTCTTGGATTATTATTTGAAATATATTTTGTTGTATTTGTTTTACCTGTATAATGTGTTTGGAGTAAATTGTTGTATTTATATATTATTTAAATACAGATTGAATTTGTTTATGAAAATGTGTGTTTTTATTTACTATCTTTTTAATATGACTTTTATCTAAAGGCGACATGTGTAAATTGTGTCATTACTGTGTTTATTCTATATATATTTATATGTGTACATATTAATTTCTGAAGGTAGATAACATGTTATTAATAAATGATATGTTTAAAAAAAATTGTTATTTTATACAGAAAACTACCAGCAAACATATTGCTTGAATAGTGATGAATAGACAATGAAAAAATCAGAAACCAGCACCACCACACAAGAATGCGCGTGCACACACACGAGAGAGAGAAAGCTTATATGAAACTCAAAAAATTCATAAT